TTACTAAATAATCATAACATCAGAAGTTGTCTACAATCCCAAAGAAAGGTTTTTACTGCTATAACATAAATAATCAGAAGTTGTCTACAATCCCAAAGAAAGGTTTTTACTGCTATAACATAAATAATCAGTTTTAACATAAATAATCAGTCTACAATCCCAAAGAAAGGTTTTTACTGCTTTAACATAAATAATCAGAAGTTGTCTACAATCCCAAAGAAAGGTTTTTACTGCTATAACATAAATAATCAGAAGTTGTCTACAATCCCAAAGAAAGGTTTTTACTGCTATAACATAAATAATCAGAAGTTGTCTACAATCCCAAAGAAAGGTTTTTACATAAATAATCAGAAGTTGTCTACAATCCCAAAGAAAGGTTTTTACTGCTATAACATAAATAATCAGTTGTCTACAATCCCAAAGAAAGGTTTTTACTGCTATAACATAAATAATCAGAAGTTGTCTACAATCCCAAAGAAAGGTTTTTACTGCTATAACATAAATAATCAGAAGTTGTCTACAATCCCAAAGAAAGGTTTTTACTGCTATAACATAAATAATCAGTTGTCTACAATCCCAAAGAAAGGTTTTTACTGCTATAACATAAATAATCAGAAGTTGTCTACAATCCCAAAGAAAGGTTTTTACTGCTATAACATAAATAATCAGAAGTTGTCTACAATCCCAAAGAAAGGTTTTTACTGCTATAACATAAATAATCAGAAGTTGTCTACAATCCCAAAGAAAGGTTTTTACTGCTATAACATAAATAATCAGAAGTTGTCTACAATCCCAAAGAAAGGTGTTTACATAAATAATCAGTTGTCTACAATCCCAAAGAAAGGTTTTTACTGCTATAACATAAATAATCAGAAGTTGTCTACAATCCCAAAGAAAGGTTTTTACTGCTATAACATAAATAATCAGTTGTCTACAATCCCAAAGAAAGGTGTTTACTAACATAAATAATCAGCTATAACATTTTTAAAACATAATCAGAAGTTGTCTACAATCCCAAAGAAAGGTTTTTACATAAATAATCAGAAGTTGTCTACAATCCCAAAGAAAGGTTTTTACTGCTTTAACATAAATAATCAGAAGTTGTCTATAATCCCAAAGAAAGGTTGTTACATAAATAATCAGTTGTCTACAATCCCAAAGAAAGGTTTTTACTGCTATAACATAAATAATCAAAGTTGTCTACAATCCCAAAGAAAGGTTTTTACTGCTATAACATAAATAATCAGTTGTCTACAATCCCAAAGAAAGGTGTTTACTGCTATAACATAAATAATCAGTTGTCTACAATCCCAAAGAAAGGTGTTTACTGCTATTAAATATCTATTACAGTAAAATATTTCTGCAGGATTCAGGCAAGTCCAGATTACCATTTCCAAAATTTTGATGAGTCATAGTATCAAGATAATAAAGGGTCCTAAAAATTTGAGCGGGTCTCACAGGAAACTCCTGAGTCCAGCACTGATACATTTGAGTAAAGTATCACACAATATGATGTTTGTCTGCAAAGCTCGGTCATTTCTTTGGAACATAAATGGCATATTGATAAGTTGATTGTTGTTGTCTTATATGTTGATATTGATTTGATCAAAACTAAAACAGTTGGATTATTACTGACAGCGTAATCTGTCTAAGAGGACCATTTGACTATGAGCCAATCCTGTTTCCAGCCTACAATAATGGATCTGTAATGGTCACATGCTGGACATATTTCATTTATCTTAACATGAATAACACTTCTTTTGGTTTATTTATATTGTGATATTGCCATGCAAATACAAATATAATCCATACAGCTGATGCTGGGAAATACTGAACATGTTCAAAATACTAGCCATTAGAATTCTTATAAAAAAATCATTCTGATTTATTTTTAAGAATGATTAACATGTTTTTGCATTAAATTTCTTTTCTTGGAGAGATGCACCATGATGTGTTCACAGATATGTAACCTGCCAGAAGAAAGCCTTCTGTGTCCTGCATTCTTTATTGTCAGTGACATATTTCATTTTGATGAACGTCTCTACTTATGTTTCTCTTCTTTTTAATAAATTTTTGTGTGGTCTTCAAACCAAGTTACCATAGTTTCTATCTTTTCCCGTTTGCAGATCATATGCAATTTTAAAATTAATTCAATATACATGATCAAATACATATAGATGAGCTGTGACAGTTTTAAACAATATGACATTATGTTAATGATAAATCTGATACAGATCTTTACATAAGAAAACTTTTGGTTGTGATTATATAATTGTAAGGAGCTTAAGAACACATGCACTAGTTCTTGTCTGTTTCTTTTCTTTTTGAGTTAATGTTCCATTGTGACAATTATGTTCCAATTAAAATAACAGGAGAATCAATCACCTGTGTCTCAGTGTGGCATATCAATTATCGTAGAAAATCCATTAATTGAAATGAAAAGAAATGTAATGAAATTTTAACAGTGAAAGGCAGTAACAGTGCAATAAGTTGAAGTTATAATGTATATATATATGCTGCCTTACAGGTATTAGTGCTAGGCCTATTATCAAAAGCTAAATGCTTAAGGAAAGAAAACCAATTAATTGATGCTAAAAATGCAGAGTACAAGAAAGTCTCAGAGATTTTAGATATTTGCCAGTCAAGTGTTAATTGTATTGTGGTAAAAGGGTATAATTAAGGGCCTTGGTCACGATTTTATAAAATGCCATACTTCAGCCTAAAACGATGCAGTGATGTATGTAGTTTGCAGTAACCCATCTCTCTCAGCACACCGATACCTGCAAAAGCTGGTCCTGCCCTCTTTAGCTTAGTCTGGTGAATATGTAAATTTCGAATATATAACAATGTCAATTGACATGTGACATCAAAGTGTTTACAGGCTTTCAAAATCATTGTAAAGTGAAACATATTTTTGTAAACGGTATATTGTTCGCATAATGATGTATGACAGCAAAAACAATTGAAGTGGTGAAAAAAGTGATAGCCAGACACTTCTCTGTCTAAACAAACCTCTCCACATAGAGGACAGCAAAAATTGAATGAAGAGTATAACTTATGGAACTGTTTAGCTTTCATGTCTGTCATTAACAACAGGTGTCAATTGGTTGTTTCTTTTATTAACCTGTTGAGATCATAATAAAAATAAGGTAAGCAAAACGGAACGTGTTAGGGGACCACTGTTCTGACAAGTACAACATGTTCAGTTTGCCAAACCCGGGAACACCACCCACACCACATGCATCTATACATATGAAATCAGCCTTATCCTGCCTCAGAGTTAAACTCATAATTGTAAATTATGTATTGAAAATTCTTTCTTGTACTCTGAAAGGTTCATGTACACATAAATATCTGGACCAGTGTAAGTAAATACTGTCGTAACATTCCCATAGGACCAGTGTAAGTAAATACTGTCGTAACATTCCCATTTGGCCAGTCAAATCATGTTCATGATATAGACATTCATATTGAATAAATTAAGGAATCCCAACAACCAAAATCCTTTGAATCATTTAGTTTATGGGCACTTATCGTTGAATTGTCATTAGGATTCATATCTTTTACTAATTAGTCCTGGATATCCACATAATTCTCGTGTAAGTTTCGATTGTTGACATGTACACATGTGAGGAACTGAGTAAACATCTTCAAACCTGCAAACTTTTCAAAATTTTCATGGGGGAGAAAAGTGTGTGAACGACATTTTTGACTCACCATACCTTTTGCAGCGTGACATTTGTCACCAAGGAAAAATTAATTAATAAAGTGCATGCTTTACTTTACTATAACAATGAAAAATACCTTTTTTTTTCGCGTATAAGTGTGTTCCCAAGCGTAGCGGTCAAATAGGATTAACTAGAATTAGGTGACACTAATTAGGTAACTGGGCAATGTACTTACTTAGCCTAGGCCTTAATTATTTGGCCAGGTGGTCAGTCTTACCTATTTGACAAACATAGCAAGGTTACTTATGACATACCTAATAGGATCTCTGAAATCGGGATATAACCCCAATTTTGATCCATACGATCAGGAGGTGGGGATGAAGTGAAACTAAACAATTGGGAAAGCTAGCAGGTATGCATCATGTATACACAAAATTTCACATATTTTATAAAGGAAGTCAGAGCTGCCATGTTCTTACAAGGTCTAGAGGTTAAAAAAAATGTGAAAACCTCGTGTTGTCTGGTCCATTACATCAATTCTGTTAAGCTGAATTGACATAACTACAAAATATGTAATAAAAGAACTTTGATAAATACAACTTTAAATAATAAAGCGATAACAACTATTCATCTAACTTCTGATTTAGAAAATAATTTTTTTTTAAACAAATGACCAAATCACGTTTTCTTGGGGGGTCTTACATTAGATGTGTATAGTGCATTATATATGTGTACACTTTAAATATTAACAAATGAAAAATACCGTATTTGAAGCTTGTCGCGATTAAAATGAGTTTGGCGACAGATTCTGGAACATTTAATCATTAAAAGTATTTGATTCAAAATAGAAAAAATACAGTGTCAAAAATGTGAGTTCAATGACGCAGAAGGAAAAGACTGAACTAACTTATAAACATGTTTTGCATATTGACTTTTTGTGCAGATCCACCTAGCACGGACCTATGTCAAAGCAATATGTGCTTATGAGAACGCCCTTCTGGCTAAGGTCGTTTCGTACATGTGCATTAGTTTTGCATCATTAATTACCTGTGTGCATATGTGCAGTTTTGGTCACGACGCCAGACGGTCAGCATCAAAGTGACTGACCTGCATCTAGCAAAATTTGAAGGGAAGGTGCGAATTTCCGTCGTTCTTCTCGGAAACTAGTTGTATTTAGTATGAAGAAAAAATCCGAAACCATCCGAAAGGTCTATTAAATCTCGTTATAGAGATATCTCTATCAATTAATTTTAACATCGCATTTAAAAGTATGGAATCTGCATCAAATTCTCGTATAGGAACAAAATTTTCAAAATATCATATTTATCTGTTCTTATTACGAACATTAAATAAATTACGATGTAAGCTTCCGGTGACCCAGTGATCGGTTTGGTCTACAATCATGTCCTTCGAAGAGGTAAGTCCAGCAGGTGCCCGTGAGATGCTTTCATGGCATTTGGTAATGTACGCATTCTTTGTGACCAAATCATTTGTGTTCTACGAAAAGATCTCGAGCGGCAACAAAACTGTGATTATGCACGTATTAAAAGACATCACCAGATATGTGCCTGAAAGCACCACGTCGTATTTGACCTTCACCCTCGAAATAAACAAAATATATTTTGGTCTCATTCGTTCTTCAGGGCATGTTTTAAACTAGTTTCGATAGTTCATCTCATCTTAATTGTGATATTTTATCTCCTTTTTGTACGTTCGTGCAATGTCAAACGACTTTAACAAGTTTTTTAGGTCCAGATCCTGACACCGAATGGAGGTGTGTCTCTTGTTGTGAATTTGATTGGACGATACGTAAAAGGGCACGTAGGCACACACATCGAGGGACATTCAACAATATAATGTACTACCACGGACTTATATACACAATTTGTGTATATAAGTCCGTGGTACTACATACATTTCTGAATCTTTGGATCAGAATAAATGTTTTGAATTGAATATATGACATACGGACAAAAATAAGAAATGTCAGTAATCCCCTCAAAGGCTTCAAATCAAATAAGCTTAATGGTTAAAATTGTAGACCATACTTTTTCAGTCACTCACCTTCAGTATCTGAGGACCACAGACATAGTTATTGTCCGTGTTGAAAATATGTTATGCATCGGCATGCTGACGATGTCTACTTATCCATGATGTTGCATACTGAAAACAAATGTTGTGTTGATTCAGGAATTCCCAGCATTGATTGGAAAATTTAGAACTAAGTTACTTAAAAATGCATATAATTTAAATTTTAAATAGTCCACATTTACATAATGTTCTAGTTGTGGATCCAAGTACATATGTACACATATTAACTGAACAATTTGTCATTCTGGTTGACTCTTGAAACTGTCAAACTGTCATGATCAGCTCATGGCAATCAGGAGAGCATTACTTAGGTTCACAATATGCAATGAATCTACATGATGGTACTACTTTATTGTAGAAACAGTCAAGATAAATTACACCTTGGCTATAGATATAAATTAACTTGTGACACATGCTCATACTTTTTTGAAGGACAGGCTACAATGGAGATGTTGTTCAAAAAGTGAGTTATGTAATAGTCCAGGGAGATATCAGACATAGATATATTCTAATCATGTTTACAGATGTGAATAATCTTTTATACATTTTGTATATATAGAATGTAATTAAAATAATACCATTGTTATTTTTTTTCCATTTCATATAAAATACTTTGAAAGAAATTCTGTTTATTAAACCATTCATTGACATCAGGGCTCTCACACCCCATTTTGGGACTGGGGCCCTTAGAATTGGAAAAAATAATGGTGTTTTCCTTAGAATTGGGAAAACTTGGTGTCTAAATTGGGAAAAAAAGATACTATTTTGCATTGGGAATATTCGGCCCCAAATCTGGCAGATCGAGAGCCCTGGACATGTATAAAGGAAACTCCTTATGTTTTTATGTTAGAATAGTAAATATTGTCTTTCTTGCAGTTAAAGTATTTGTCTGGATTTGGTAATGAGTTTGCCTCTGAGGACCCTAGATGTCCTGGTGCTTTACCAGAAGGACAGGTATGTAAATTGAATACTTGCCATGTATTTATGGTGATAAACCTATGTCCAGTAATAACTTAAATTCCTTGTGGTATTCTGGTATCTATCTGTGTTCAGCAGAAGTCATGTTACACAGATAATTGCTATTTCATTGTCCTGTAATGGCTTAGTTGGTAGAGCCGATAATTTATCATGCCAGAGACATGGGTTTGATTCTTGGTCAGGAAACACAACAGAATTTTTTCTTTTCCTTGTTATTTTATATTTCAGATAAGTTTCAGATTAAAGTGTTGCAACTACATCAACGCTTTAAGTAATGAGAACCTCGTGTATAACATTAACTAGATCCATTGGTCTTGTTTATTGGGCTGAATGCTTTGCTATGCCATTGTTGAAGTTTTGATTTTTTTCCCTTTTTTTATTCATGATATGAAAAACCATTAGATTTAATGAAAAAAAATGGACCTGCATATACTAAAGGATGTGATAGCCCTTAGCTCTAGTAAGATGTGCATGATAATACAGTTACTCACTCTTTGGTTTGATTATTTTTGAAATGTTAAGCTTTCTGTTATTATATATTTAATTCTGACTTTTGATAGAAAGAAAATAAAGACAACTACAATAATATACAAGATAACAAAGTAAGATGTATTCAGATATGTGCTTGTAGTTACCAACAATTTAAAAACATGGATTATTATGTGAGCCTTTCTTTGCTCAAGAGAAAATAATTTACAAAATGAATGAAATCGTTGTAAAGCATTTAACCCTTAAAATCATGATATATTTCATTGAGATTCCTGGATTCTTCACTCGCTAGGGCTGAATTAAACTATATCTGTCCCTTTATTCATTAAATTTGGCTGTCATCCTGATCATTTAAGATAACTAACAGGTACTGAAATCTTTGTACAGTTATCAAGCTAGTATTCTACAGGAGTGCCTTTTGCTGTGGAGAAGTTCTCCATTTAAATATTTGGAAACATATAGTTGCATGGAGTATGACTCTAAAACCATTAAAGTTATAATTAACAAACTACTAAATGGGTTGCAATAGAAACAGGCAAAACTACAAATTTTGGTGTCCAGAGTTTAAGTCAGATCTGTTAAGGATAACTACCTGAAACTTTGTCCACTTATGTTATTGCTCCAGTTTTATGATAGAGTAGTTTATTATCTTTCGTTGTTACCATGGAAACAGATTATTGGAGAAGTTTTTTTCTCTTTTTTTCCCCCTTTTTTTCTGTTGTTTATCAAAAAAGCATTGATAATTGACAAAGTTATCCACTTTCATAAGTAGCCCCCATATTTACATATTCCATAGTAAATTATGTAACAATTATAAGATAGGTTTATTTCTGGTTCAGGACTTGTATATATATATATATATATATATGCAAGTTTTGTTTACCAGACTCAAAAGTACATATAAGATATTACAATTATTATGCACAGTCCTCTTGTAAATGTACATTATCTATTAAATTGGATACTTAGGTGATTGCAGCTCTGTAATTAAAGAACAGTTCTTGGTTTTTTCCAGTGTTTGTCTAATTCATTTTAAAATTTGTTAATATTATTTGCTGAAATGACGTGTTCAGGTAATTTTTCCCAAATGGTTGCCAATCTAATTTTTAATAAAATTTTTTTTTCTTAAAATGGTTAAAGAGTACTTTGGATATATTGTTTTATGTTATCGAAATGATGCCAAACCATACACAAAGTTATGTCTTTCTATTGTACATGTGGGTGTGGGGATACTGTCACTTGTCTTTATCGTGGATGAAGTTAAAGATTACCATTGTCAGATGGTGAGCTGTCAAATCACCATGCAGCTGTGGTTAGTTAGTTGGTCTATCTTTTCGCAAAAGGTAGACACATACTAGTTTAATAAACTTGATTTGAGATGGGCTAGTGTGACAGTCCAGGGTTGCAGCATACAAAATGTACATATGGCAGCCAGCCAAGTTATTGAACTGGCACAGTTTTTATTGGGAACCTTTGTAATAATTAAAGTACTGTGAATGCTAAGGACTCAAAGGACAGGAAAAAAAATATTGTGACTGATGTGAAAGCTGGACTGAAACATTAAAGGATATATATAGAAAATGAATAAATTACTGTGAATGGAAATCATGTAAACTGAATATTTTGAATATTTACCAATAATGATTCATTATGTTAAATTTTTTTCGATGTGGTGATGGTGATAAAAGAATAGAGGCCAATTGTTCTGATCCCAGCAAGCTGAGCGTGTTGTTTAAAATCTATAGATGAAAGCCAAAAGTCTACATCCATAAACGGAATCATGTGGAAAATATTTAGCTGTGATCAAGATATACAAAATCCAGTTAGGGATCAAACGTACATACACAGCATGGAATTTATAGAAGGATCCAATCAGAACATTCATGTGTAGAAGTACATTTACTTACATCTACATACTTTTTGTGAAAAATGTTTTTCGAGGATGAAAATTTGACATTGGAAGAAATGCAACAAACAGTGATATTTATGGCAGATGCTGTATATTTCATTAGTACAATAAGTGACAGATGTACGATTACAGAGAATATATATTTAAAATTTGACATTTACCAGAAAGTAAGATTAATAGATGTGACATTAAGTGGGTTCCACTGTACCAACAATATGTTAATGAAATATGCAAGATACATGCATTTTCCTTACTATGATTTCAAATATGAAACCAATTTTTAAGATTTGATGGGTCTTGTGAGTGTACCGTTTGGATTATTGATACAGGAATATTATGATAAGTGGATTCTGGAGAGCTGTCAGAAATAAACAGTTTGATGAATTTATTAAAAAGTGTGATGCATTTATGGTTGACAAAGGACAAATTGAGCATCCCTAGGTTAAATCTTTATATACCTAAGTTTGTATGTCTCCAGTTTGACAACTTTATGGTTGATAGATGACTTTAATAGCTTTCCTTTGGTTTTACTTATAAAGTCTATCTGCTTCACTGGTACTGCATTGGTTTTATTTTCCAGATGAATGTGCTATACCGGAGAAGCTACGGTGCATGCCTGTTATGCAGTTATACTTACAATATTTCTAGAAGTTTAAATTGTTGAATGGACTTTGACATCATCCAGTATCAAATTGATTCATATTGAACTTTTGTGTTTTTATATACTTTGTTATCTATTGTTGTACTTATAAGCTGAAAACAGATGCTTTATGTGATGTGTTAAAGAAATTTCACCTGTGGACCACATTTTTTGACAGCACCTTAGACAGCATAGTTGACAACGAGATTAGGTTATTAGCCTCAACAATTTCAACATTTTCTCATTGCTAAGGTACAATGCCCTTAAGTATATCTCTAGGAGTCTTTGGTAGATTTCAACTAAATTTTCAAAGTCGTGAATTCTGTCTTGTTGGACCACTTTTCCTGATTTTTAGGACCGAAAACAAATATTTCATCTTATTTCATGATTTTTGAAAAAAACATAACAGTATGGGTGAAAATTGAAAAATATGAAAGCAGAGTGAGCCTCTCTTGATATAATCCTGAACAACATCCCCAGTAAAGGTTTTGTTCAAATACACAATACAGACTTAAGGTGCCTCAACTGTTTAACAATTAAACCCTAGATTTTCTGGAAACTTTAACACAATGATGGTTATCATTATTTTGAGTGGATTGTAACATTACATAATACATACACTATACATATACATGTGTGCATTTGTTTTAAATAAACTTATTGACACTTTGATCACCGTGTAATGATATATTGACATACATACTTATCAAGCAGACATGAAATATTAAACAACGACCTAATGAATCTGTACCACTCACCTGGTTTCAAACATATAACCAAGGCATAAATCATGTTCTCCTGTCTAATATTACATACTGTTCAAACTTTTTGCTTCTGTTACAGACAATAGCCTTACTATTAAAATAGTCTTACTATTAAAATAGCCTTATTATGAGTTAAATACATTGTATGTATCTCTGACAACGAAAAGAAATAAGATCCAAAGGGGAGCTTGCCACCCAACATTGTTTGTATCTCTGACAACGAAAAGAAATAAGATCCAAAGGGGAGCTTGCCACCCAACATTGTTTGTATCTCTGACAACGAAAAGAAATAAGATCCAAAGGGGAGCTTGCCACCCAACATTGTTTGTATCTCTGACAACGAAAAGAAATAAGATCCAAAGGGGAGCTTGCCACCCAACATTGTTTGTATCTCTGACAACGAAAAGAAATAAGATCCAAAGGGGAGCTTGCCACCCAACATTGTTTGTATCTCTGAAACGAAAAGAAATAAGATCCAAAGGGGAAAACATTGTAAGATCCAAAGGGGAGCTTGCCACCCAACATTGTTTGTATCTCTGACAACGAAAAGAAATAAGATCCAAAGGGGAGCTTGCCACCCAACATTGTTTGTATCTCTGACAACGAAAAGAAATAAGATCCAAAGATTGCCACCAAAGGGGAGCTTGCCACCCAACATTGTTTGTATCTCTGACAACGAAAAGAAATAAGATCCAAAGGGGAGCTTGCCACCCAACATTGTTTGTATCTCTGACAACGAAAAGAAATAAGATCCAAAGGGGAGCTTGCCACCCAACATTGTTTGTATCTCTGACAACGAAAAGAAATAAGATCCAAAGGGGAGCTTGCCACCCAACATTGTTTGTATCTCTGACAACGAAAAGAAATAAGATCCAAAGGGGAGCTTGCCACCCAACATTGTTTGTATCTCTGACAACGAAAAGAAATAAGATCCAAAGGGGAGCTTGCCACCCAACATTGTTTGTATCTCTGACAACGAAAAGAAATAAGATCCAAAGGGGAGCTTGCCACCCAACATTGTTTGTATCTCTGACAACGAAAAGAAATAAGATCCAAAGGGGAGCTTGCCACCCAACATTGTTTGTATCTCTGACAACGAAAAGAAATAAGATCCAAAGGGGAGCTTGCCACCCAACATTGTTTGTATCTCTGACAACGAAAAGAAATAAGATCCAAAGGGGAGCTTGCCACCCAACATTGTTTGTATCTCTGACAACGAAAAGAAATAAGATCCAAAGGGGAGCTTGCCACCCAACATTGTTTGTATCTCTGACAACGAAAAGAAATAAGATCCAAAGGGGAGCTTGCCACCCAACATTGTTTGTATCTTAATTTGTTCTTTAAAAATCTGAATCTTTTCCTATTTTTTCTATTCTTTCTTGAGTTCCTATTTCAAATTATATGTTGCCTCTGTCAACACACAATTCCATGACTCTATGTCTCTCTGTTTACTCTGAGAATCCAGGCAGGATAACTGTCACCCAATTCGATGTCACTCTCATCAGTACAGCTACTACTGGAATCTGAACATGTATTCATATCTTTTACACCATTGACATTCTTGGCTGGGAAGATGAATGTTCATGACAGGTACTGCTTTCCATACAATTGCTTCCAAATGGCATAAACTGCCGTCTCTTGTCTCTATTCACCAATTCTTACATTGCTACATACTTTTTATACTCTGTGTACAGAATAATAAATAATGGGCGATCCAACACTCCTAATGTAAGAATTTGCGGTAGTGTCTTCGGTTGGATCCTTAGGATTCAATATAATAAAACAATGATGACGGTCACATAGTGGCCGAAACATCTAGACAGCTTTACAAAAAGTCTTTGTGTTGTTGAGATTCCTTTTTGTTTAATTCTGCGTACAGAAGAACACTCTTTCATGCAACACAAAATTTGCAACCCATTGCAAAATGCCAGTATATAATTTGGATGTTATATCACCACAATATAGGAAATATAATAATTAGGAAGTTGTATCACCACAATATAGAAAATATAATAATTAGGAAGTTGTATCACCACAATATAGAAAATATAATAATTAGGAAGTTGTATCAACACACAGGAAATATAATAATTAGGATGTTATATCACCACACAGGAAATATAATAATTAGGATGTTATATAACCACACATAGAAATATAATAATTAGGATGTTATATAACCACACAGGAAATATAATAATTAGGATGTTATATAACCACACAGGAAATATAATAATTAGGATGTTATATCACCACACAGGAAATATAATAATTAGGAAGTTGTATCACCACAATATAGGAAACATTACCTGTGTATTACGTAGGGTCACATCTCCTTAAAAAGTTAGATACTAAAAAGATTTAAGACATTTTTCTAAATTTTCATTTTCTGGTTTCTATGCAGTTTGCTCACACTTAATGAAATCAAATTTAGCATTTTCCCGTTACTATATATTTTTTTTTCTCATAATATCTAGGTACCATACTATTACCTTTTAATTAAAGACCATTTATTTTAAGAAAAGTTGATGCTCTGAAATAACATGATTGACAAAAAACACACAAGTGAAAGAATGCCTGTTAGTCAGGAAGAAAATAGGAATAATGTTGAGCCTGTGAAAATGAATTAATTCCTGTTTTACATAATGCAGCAACATGACTATTGATTTCCTATGAATTACTTTCCAGAATCTAACCTTCCAAAAACTCATCACCAAAACAAAAGTTTAACACTGGAACTTCTGACAGCAGTACCTGTATTTAAGATAATTTGCATTTGACTTACCTTGATAGAGAATTTAACAAATTGGAGACCATGTTTGTGCTTCAGAGAGTTAAGAATTCTTGTCAAAACACTTTTTTTATCAAGTAGTAAATGATATAAATTAATACTTTGATTTACAAATCTAACACCACATATGCACCCTTTGTGGTGGCTTTGCACACTTCTTTAGGTTGACCGTCAAAGCTTCTTACTTGTGATATTCATTATTCAAACTGCATAACAAAAGGGTCTGAGTTAATAAGTGCATAAAAATGGATTAAGAAATTAACTGTAACAAAATGAAAATGATAAAAATTTTAATTGTTCAATGTTATAGAAATGATATATATTATAATTTGAAAAGCAGAGGCATCAAATGGAATTTGTGAAATGTTTCTGAATAGTAAATTATTACTCTGCTGCACTTCCCCATCCAATGTTTTAACGTAGCCTTTTGGGTACTTAATTACGTTACCCAATTGAATATAAACTCTAGTGTTTAAGGGCCGAGGTTTAACTGATTGTGATAGAGTACTGTAGGAGCTCTTACAGTGAAATGGTTTTAAAGAGACTTAGCCTTCTAGTGAACAAATATTTTTCATAAGGATCAGTGAATCAGTACTGTGCATGGAAACATTTTTCCTGCTTTCACAGACATTGAGTTTGGCACAATGACCTACACTTCATGATGTAACTGATGGAGAAAACTTGTACACTATCTCTGGACCCAGCCTGTAAACCAGTGGGAAAATTTTCCTCCTGTGATACATAACATTTCAAAAATCATTTTAGAAAGCTCAGAATATAGGAACAGTCTATACCTGGCATGCATACGTGACCTGGAATCCCGTAGCTTTTCAGTAAACAAATCTCCCCAGATTCTGGGCACAACTAACCAAAATACATGTACATCTCTCCAAAGAATCGTTCTGTGTCTGTGCTCTCCTTCAAAATGAATTTATTATACAATGTATTTACAAACAAATGGGAATGATTTTTGAGGATAAAATGTATTCTGAAATTAAAATGTATGTAAATTACAATAAAAATAGAAAAAAGCCTCAGAATTGTCATGGTTCAGTGACATGAACTCCACTGAAAACATACATGCATCATCAATATCAGAAATCTTGATTTAGGATTTCATTTAAAGTGTCAGATTTGATAAAGAAATTTTAAGATTTTTTGAATGATTATTGATTCGTTCTAAAAGTCATCATAATAGTTGTATATTGTCCAGGCCAAGACAAGGAGTGGAATGAAAGTTTTAACTCATAATGAAGATACTTCTTAATGTATACAAACATTTTATTTAAATCACAGATAATTTGGTAAGGTTTTATTTAAGGTTTTGTAACATGTAGGATCTTAGTTTGCTAATGCAGTAATGAACACACAGCATCCTGATTGGATAAAATAAAAATATCTTTATGAATGAAATGTTGTGAACAAAAGTAGTTATTTCAAATTCTGTCACAAGATGTTGTCATGGCTCATATGATACAGCTGTAATTAGGGTAACAACAATGAACACAAACAAAATTTGTCCAAAACTGTAATGCCAGGATGTCAAAAACGAAATTTTGCCTCTCTCCATCATCTGAAATGTTTTGTTACAGGTAATTTTTCTCCTGACTTTGGAGCTTGATGTTCCTATATAATAACAGTAAGCTGTTCTATAAACTAGATTTGTAGGTGACTCTATCAAGTCTTGGAGAGTCAAGTGGCACAATGGATAATGAATTCACATTCAGCCAAGATGAAAGATCATTTCCTTTTCAGAAACATGTATTGTGTCACTTGATTGAATATACATATGTAAGGTTCACTTTGCTGTTTCTTCAGGACAAATACCTGTTACTAATCATGTCTGTGGCTGGTATAAATCATCATGGAGACCTATCATTTGTACTTCACATATTTTACGTTTTATTTCTTCTTCATGGAAATGGTTGATTTTAGAACATCTAAAACTTTACTTCCATATTTGTAGAACAACCCTCAAAAATGTCCATTTGGACTGTATGCGGAACAGCTGTCAGGGAGTGCTTTTACCTGCCCAAGGGAGGCAAACAAGCGCAGGTGAGTTTCATTATTTCTCATCACAAGATTTTTTTGGTCATGAATTTAAATGCTGTCAGTGTGAGTCCATACCTACTAATGGATAAGCCATCCTGTGTTGATTGCTTATCAGTGGAGTCACAAACCAATGTAGATTTGTATTAACACATCAACAGATGTTGTTCATACTCACATTGTATTAACACATCAACAGATTTTGTTCATACTCACACTGTGTTAACACATCAACAGATTTTGTTCATACTCACACTGTGTTAACACATCAACAGATTTTGTTCATACTCACACTGTGTTAACACATCAACAGATTTTGTTCGTACTCACACTGTATTAACACATCAACAGATGTTGTTCATACTCACATTGTATTAACACATCAACAGATTTTGTTCATACTCACACTGTGTTAACACATCAACAGATTTTGTTCATACTGACACTGTGTTAACACATCAACAGATGTTGTTCATACTCACACTGTGTTAACACATCAACAGATTTTGTTCATACTCACACTGTGTTAACACATCAACAGATTTTGTTCATACTCACACTGTATTAACACAACAGATTTTGTTCATACTCACACTGTGTTAACACAACAGATTTTGTTCATACTCACACTGTATTAACACATCAACAGATGTTGTTCATACTCACATTGTATTAACACATCAACAGATTTTGTTCATACTCACACTGTGTTAACACATCAACAGATTTTGTTCATACTCACACTGTGTTAACACATCAACAGATTTTGTTCATACTCACACTGTATTAACACAACAGATTTTGTTCATACTCACACTGTGTTAACACAACAGATTTTGTTCATACTCACGCTGTATTAACACAACAGATTTTGTTAATACTCACACTGTGTTAACACAACAGATTTTGTTAATACTCACACTGTATTAACACATCAACAGATTTTCTTCATACTCACACTGTATTATCGCACTAGTAAGTTCGACATTTATTAAATTTTGACGGCCATTGGTCAAGGTTAAAGACTTGGATAATTTGTGAATGAAAGACTTTGTACAGGTTATTTCATTTCAGTAATAATTACCATAACTTTAGTACCTACACCCATCTTTGTATCCCAACAACGAAAGATTCAAATAATTCCCCCTCCCTATGATCCATGAGCCATCACGGCAGGAACATAGAGTGATCTCCCTTCCGCTTACCTTTATGGCTGCTGACGAGTGTCTAGGTGTCTGAGCTGAGTGCTTTCTTTACTCCTTCTCTTTGTACTACTATTGTTGTCTGAGTATATTGTTACTCCCTTAGTTGTCAGTAAACCCATCTCCCAACTCATTTTTTAAAATTAAGTATTATTTATTTTGACCGTTTTTTTACGGCCTTGTTTTCCTCAACTGTATGAATGCGTGACCACGTGAAGTTGTAATTTGTTTTCTTGCTGCTTTGTCAGCCGTTTTGTTCAACGATGGATAGTGCCGAGTTATGTCAAGGGTCAGCACATGGGTGTTCCCATTTCTACGGAGAACAGAACCCCCATGATGCCTGTCCCCTTTGCTGACCTTGTAGCCAGACTTCGCCGTGTGATCTTTGTTTGCACACAGAGTCTGCTGCCAAGGCTCCCATGCCTGTTCAGCGAACTTCCCGCCGGAAGAGGGATTTGTCAACGAGGGTGAAATTGGCCGATAGCTCCCGTTTGCTGATGGTGTTACCGTTAGGAAAGGACTTCAACCGCCGGTCACTGATTCGTTCAGTGATCCCTGCACGCTGTGTGGTGTTGTAGGAGGGGTGTGTGTGTGTGTGTGTGTGTGTGTGTGTGTGTGTGTGTGTGTGTGTGTGTGTGTGTGTGTGTGGTGTTGTAGGTGGGGGCCACCTTGACTCTGGACCTGTACTTTCTAGTGCAGGTTCCAGGGCCACAGATTTCTTGTCAGGATTTTCTGTGGCTACAGGGATTAGTGAAGAGCAGTTCACTAATCCATGCGACAGCGCGGGGCCTATCTTCCTGCCCTCACAAATTGCTTGTGCTGGTCAGTTCCGGTCCAGTCCAGAGTTCCCTGTGCAGGGCTACCCAGGGGGTTTCCCTCAAGTGGTTCGGTTTACAGGCCAGGCGTCTGGTTTCCGGTCACCTTTCCCCCCGGGCTCTGGGTATACGGGTGCCTGCGGGCATTCAACCCTGGGATGCCCAGACCAGCCTTCAGATGGTTCTGGGTACCAGCAGTATCCCAGCAGTTACGGACCTAGCCTGTACATGTCTGCGTGTCCACCTGGTGGGAGTGGTGGTCAATCCGTGTCTTTCGGACAGGCAGACTCAGACTCAGTTCTGGGACCATTCCCATTCCTTCAGGGATTTGGGTTTATCCCTATGGATGTTCCCTCGGGGTTGGTCTCTCCCTATAGGAGACGGTTAAGCAGTTCAAAATTCCCCCGAACGTTCTGCTACTTCAGGGGCCTTATCGGCCTGTCCTAAGAAGGTTTGCCAGACCTTTAGGACTTCCACCTCCCGCGTTGACCCGTCAGTTTCCAAGTCCCAGGGTCAGCTTTGGGTCCAAGCCTACAGCCATGGCAATTAGGTGCTCTGCGTCTAAACGCCGTATGGAAGAGCCTCACTCTCTGGAGTTGGCTCCTCTGGTGGCCCCTGTTCCTCCCACAGAGACTTTGGTCTCTATCAAGGAGGAGATGGATTTTGAGGACGCTGGCATGGCAGAGGTAGACGATGTTATTCATCTTTCGCCTGGGTGCTTGGATATCGACCCATCCGAGTCGTATGATGACGACCCTACCGGTAAGGAGGGTTCCCTAGGGAAAAATGGCCCTGAGGCTGCTGAAGCTGAGCTAAAGCATGCTCTGTCCGATTCCCGAATCCACCACCCTTTTAGGTTCCCTGGTGACCCCTTGGGCATCCGTTCGGTCAGATCAGTCTCTGCCAGAAGGCACAATTGTGTCTTCAGCTCTGGCCACTGCCCGCGCTCAGGTTATGTATCTGTGCTCCCAACGACTATGCCACGCATGACAGGCAACTAGTCTCTCAACCAGCTAGGCTGGAATCGAGAGAGCTGGCGGTCTGGCCCAGCAAATCGGTGGACCAGGTGGTGTTCGGTGCTGAGGAACACCACAAGATGGAAAGAATGTTGCGTCTGTCCATCCAGATTCTGTCTGTATATAGACTACCTGACAGTTTGTCTATACAGGGTGTCCGACTTGCCTGAGGGTCGGTTTTCCGAGGCAGAACAGGCCAACATACAGGACAGAATCACCTCTGCCCCCTTCTCTGGCTCTACCCTGTTCGAGGGAGCACTTCCTTCTGTACAGAAGGACGTGAAGGAGGACTCGGTAGCCTCAGCACTTCTTGTGAGGAGGTTCCAGACTGAGAAGGCCAGTGCTTCACAGGGGTCAGCACCTCCCTGTCCCGCAGGATTAGGCTCTGGGTGGGCAGACAATTCCCTTGGGTGGGGGCGTCTCCACAGTCTCTTCTGCAATGGCGGACATCATAGAAGATACTGTGGTCAGGGAGGGTCTAGGTATCCACCTTCGGGATCCGCCCCTCACTGCCCAGCCAATTTTCTTTCCTCCTTCGGGGGATGAAGAAAAGGCTCAGGCGCTCCAGGAGGAAGTAGGGACCATGCTGGCCAAGGGCGCAGTAGAGGAGGTTCCTATGTCGGAATCCACTCCCAGATTTTCATGAGGTAATACTTACTATAAATTTATGGAGTCCCATCCTATCCTCCCTTCTTCCTTATCTGCCTGATTGCCCCTCTGTGGGGTGCTCCATAAAGGTTATTAGAGGAAGGGAGATCACTTTATGTTCCTGCCGTGATGGCTCATGGATCGTAGGGAGGGTGGGATTATTTGAATCTTTTGTTGTTAGGATACAAAGATGGGTGTAGATACTGTATTTGCATACTAAAGTTATGGTAAGTATTACCTCATTAAAATTGGTTTTACATGAAAAAACCTCAAATTCATTAACCTGTCAACAGACTTCATTCTTACCTACCTAAGTACAGCAATGTAAAATTCTACTTATTCATTGTTTGTAGTGGTCATAAGTTACAAAGTGAAAGTTCAAAAGTCACACTTGTCTACTTTTGGAATAAAAGGCTTGTGTACAAGATATCTCATTAACCTATTAACAGTCTGATAGTTCATACCATAGCATTACACTATCAAATTCTACTGATGATTAGTCAGTCAACGTTACAGGTTAAAAATCACTCTTGACCACTTTGAAATACAATGTAAATACCTTATGAACAAGATATGAAACAAATTAAGTGAAAAATAGACCGAACGGGGATGGGTCCAGGTATACCTATGTGAGTCACTGTATTTCTAGCACCTTGTACCAAAATATTTTTGCTATCATCCAAAATCAATTTCATTTCAAGCTGGTTGTACAGAATACGGCCTTCGGTTGTCCACATGCCATTTGAGCACATTGAACAAGGTTTAATGACACAAGACTGGAAGGACACTGTCCCTAATCCCAATCAGGTAAAACGTTCTTGATGTGAATATCACAATGACCTTTGACATGTAAACCTTCAATGTCCTGGTGTTCTAATACTTGGGTAAAACTTTCTTTTTATGGTAGATTTAAGTAAAAATCTTATTACTTATGACCTGCCTGGAAAGTTTTATTTTCAAAGTCTGGTCTTGAAAAAAGTTTCAGTTCTGAAGAAGTAGCGTTAACAAGATTTTAAAGATGGCATCCTTGTCATCCGTCTTGAAAGTGGCACAAGTCCGAAATTAAATTAGGACAATATATAGTCTTGTCTTGATAACATATGCCATTCAGATATACTAATGATATCAATATTATCAAGATGGATGCCATTAACTCCTGTGTGTTCAACAGATGAAACTGATTTTTTAAAATGGTGAGACACATTAACTGAAAGATTATTTCATCTTTGTAGTTGAGATGGCTTCCATTTGACATTCCGAAAAAGTCAGCCGCGGCAGTAGATTTTGTGGAGGTAAGATCTATCGTATAAAACATCGGAATTGTTTCCATTAAAAATGACCAATTTTATGTAGGTAAGATCTATAGTATAAAACATCGCAATTGTTTCCATTAAAAATGACCAATTTTATGTAGGTAAGATCTATAGTATAAAACATCGCAATTGTTTCCATTAAAAATGACCAATTTTATGTAGGTAAGATCTATAGTATAAAACATCGCAATTGTTTCCATTAAAAATAACCAATTTTATGTAGGTAAGATCTATAGTATAAAACATCGGAATTGTTTCCATTAAAAATGACCAATTTTATGTAGGTAAGATCTATAGTATAAAACATCGGAATTGTTTCCATTAAAAATGACCAATTTTATGTAGCATTTGTCTGAATTAGAGGCTTACTATACCTCAGCATTCTGTTAAAGAAGTCTTGTTGATTCCACCCCCTCTTTACTTGTTACAGGGGATTGCCACCCTGTGTGGGGCAGGAGACCCATGTTCCAGAAATGGTGCAGCCATTCACATTTTTGCTTGTAATAGTTCAATGGGTGATAAGTAAGTTAAATATTGTTTACTCATATCATCAGGTATTCCAAATAAGGAATATTTTGTTTGCCATCCAATTTGGTTCACACCAATGTTTTGTACTGTAAATACTTAACATTTGATCTAAAATGGCTGACTGTGTACATGACAAAATTGTTATAGATATAATTTGCTTGGTAAAATTATCTCTTAAATGCAACATTGTAGTCATTGCTTGTTTTTTGTTTCATTAATTTTAGTTCTTTTAGTAACATTTCTCTTTAGTTTATTAACTTCCAGCCAGCCTTCAGAACTGGACAATCAGTGTACACAGTATGTACAGAAGTTTCTAGGTTATAACCAATCAATTTTAAGCTATAATAATTGTTTCAATGTCAGCTTTGCAATGACATCAAACTGTAACTTGAACCACATTTCCACACCTTTGCTGATTTTTTTTCACAATAAATTTTTGTCCTGATGACAGCCGCATAAAGGCCAAAACATGTAGACAATTCTCACAAATAGTCTTCATGTTGTTGAGTTTTCCTTTTTTTATTATGTCTCCCAAACGAAGTGGGGGGACATATAGTGTTTGCTCTGTTTCTTATTATTTTTATTATTTATTATTTATATTATTCTTATTTCTTCCACTTTCTTCCGCCGGTGAGGTTTCCGACGCGTTTCTCAAAAACTATTGCATGGAATTTAACAAAACTTTACACACATATTCATACATGTGAGGCGGAGTGCAGGCCACTTGAATTTTTCCAATCAGTCATCTGTGGTCAAAATTTGGCCAAATTTTAGATATTGTCTGATTTTCGTGAAAATTGGTATATATGTATTAGGTAGCTAGGAGCAAAATGGCATAGTCCCATTTTCATTTGGCTATTGATCAGTCATCTGAGCAATTAGCTGTGTTCTAAATTTGGCCAAATTTGAGATATTGTCCAATTTTCGTGAAAATTGGTATATATGTATTAGGTGGCACTATAGGAGCAAAATGGCATAGTCCCATTTTTGTTCGGCCATTGATCGGTCATCTGAGCAATTAGCTGTGGTCTAAATTTGGCCAAATTTGAGATATTGTCCAATTTTCGTGAAAATTGGTATATATGTATTAGGTGGCACTATAGGAGCAAAATGGCATAGTCCCATTTTTGTTCGGCCATTGATCAGTCATCTGAGGGGTCAGCTGTGGTCAAAATTTGGCCAAATTTGAGATATTGTCCAATTTTCGTGAAAATTGGTATATATGTATTAGGTGGCACTATAGGAGCAAAATGGCATAGTCCCATTTTCGTTCGGCCATCGATCAGTCATCTGAGCGGTCAGCTGTGGTCAAAATTTGGCCAAATTTGAGATATTGTCGGATCTTTGTGAAAATTGGTATGTATGTATTAGGTGGCACTATAGGAGCAAAATGGCGTAGTCCATTTTCATTTGGCCATCGATCGGTCCTCTGAGCAGTCAGCTTTGGTCAAAATTTGGCCAAATTTTATATATTGTCTGATTATAGTGAAAATTGGTATGTATGTATTAGGTGGCACTAGGAGCAAAATGGCGTAGTCCATGTTTGGCATGACTGCAGGTCTGATTATTGTGATCATTTACTGCTGAATGGTTGTTGGGGGACATTTGTAATGGTCCCTATTACAATTAGTACTTGTTTATTATGTTTTCTTAGTAAAGAACTCTATTGAATCTCACGCTGATCCGACCGAATACACTACAGCAAAGTTCTACGTTAGACGATCTCTATTTATTTATTATCTTTAGTTTATTAAACATTTTACCTTCATTAAAATATAACAATGAGAGAGATGTTTTAATTCAGATTTTTTACTTCTGCATGTATGCTGATAAGACCTTTAATGATGTTTTTTTATTTTTCATTTATTTAAAGACATTTTTCTTTAATTCATTAAACAGTTTTTCCTCATAAAAATGTGTTTTAATTAAGGTTTGAATTTTTGTATTTATTCTGACAAACCCAGGAATGATGTCTGTAGTGCAGATCTGTGTTGATTTAGGAATCATGTATATATTGACTTTTGTCTTAAAGTAGGACTATGGTATCATAGAATGCAATGACAATACTAATTTTTGTTTGTTTTTACAGATGTTTCTATGATTCAGATGGTGATTTGCTTATTGGTAATTATGAGTTCTGTATTGTCACTTATCCCTCAATAGTCATTTACATCTTAAGCATTACACGTCTCGTCTGAAATTTTCAAGTCCTCTGTAATTTGACAGTAATATTTATGCTCCCCAAAGGGAGAGCATAAAGTCACCGATTTGTCCATCCGTTTGTCCATCCATTGTAATTCAGAGCATAACAGAAAATTATAAGAGGTATCAACTTAAACTTTCATAGGTAGGTAGATCCTAACAGGGAAAAACACAATGCAGCAGAACCAAAAAGTTGATTTTGTTGGCAAATCTTGAATAATTTATTTATCGGATTGTTCGCCCATTTTCTGTTACAACCCACCCTGATTGGCTGTTCTGATTGTGGAATTAAAAATAAAGTTATTTCATGGTCCAGTAATAAGCCTTTCTCCTGACTCACAGCTAATTGAACATTTGTTTGTTTTAACAGTGCCACAGCAGGGTGCTTTGTTGATAACGACAGAATTCGGGAAGATGAAAGTGAACCCTAATGAAATTTGTATCATTCAGGTGACTATTTTACATATAGATCTTCTGTGTTTTTGATAATATACCAGAGACATTTCAACCAGTCATCTTGTTGTGATTTGTTCAGAGTTCTCCAGCATTATCACTACAGAATTCCTGAAGATTGTAACAAAAGTGTTTATTTTGTATATAGATGATGAATAATTCATTACAAATAAGGCAGATTAATTGGATGAACTTAATAAATGAGGGTGAATTTTATACATAGAGTGAAATCTATTTATAGGGTAAATTTGGGTGAATTACGGTATATTTTATATGATAGGGTGAATATTTTCTGTAAGGTGAATTTTACACATTTGGATGAATTTTATATGCAAATTTTATATATATATATACTGTATATATAAATAATAATAATATAAATTTTGTATAAGAGTGAATCTCATGGGTAAAATTTTCAAGGAAATTTTAGTGGTGTACTATTCATGGGATCTTTATGTACCTTCATGCATTAATTTTCGTATTTATGATACATAGGTAACTTGTATGTGGAAATTCTATAAATCAATAACAGTTTTCTAAAAGTGTTTGTGAATCTGTGTTTTTATCTTCATTGATGCTTTATTTTCATTCTGAAGTTTGTCTTATTTATCACTAAATATTCAATTTGATGAGATTTGGTGATATACACACATGAATTACTGGTCTTATGTTATAGTTAGGAATGCGGTTTAATGTGGAGGTAGAGGGCCCAAGTAGGGGATATATACTGGAAATATTCAATGGTCACTTTACACTACCTAATCTGGGACCAATAGGTAAGTTTGTCATTGAACTGAATGTTATATAGGTATTGTATTGCCTGTTGTCAGATTCACTTTACACTACCTAATCTGGGACCAATAGGTAAGTTTGTCATTGAACTAAATGTTATATAGGTATTGTATTGCCTGTTGTCAGAATCACTTTACACTACCTAATCTTGGACCAATAGGTAAGTTGTCATTGAACTGAATGTTATATAGGTATTGTATTGCCTGTTGTCAGAATACTGTCATTTGTCAGGGAGACATTGCTTTTTGTATCATAGCAACAGAAAGAAAGTCAAACCAACTCTAACTGATTAAGCATTGAATCATAAACATTTGCTTGTTACTCCTGCTTATCACTCAGATTTTGAATTTTTGTTTTATTTATCAGATTAATTTAACTTACGGAATTTACAGATTTATTCAAATTGAAATTCCACCCCTTCAGGAAATTTTGAATTTGTAACACTGTTAATTATAAGACATAAGAGCTAAAATATTCTGTGATTTATGATGAATGTCTCGTAAATATGGTTCCCATCTGTTGATTAATTTGGAGATATTGTAAAACATCTGCATCTTGAAAATATATGTATTTAATACTAGAAGTTTGTCTGAAGGGTTTGGGCTGGATCTGATTGCCTATCTACACTTAGCATTTTGTCATTCATTCTTTTTTACAATTATTTTTGACAGAAATGAAAATTTAGAAATCATTATAGCCAATGAGTTGTCAGAACCTTGCACACGTTTTGGAATTTGGTTTTCTTCTTCTTTCATTTTATCCTTATTAAGTGTAACTCAGTAAAGTTCCCATCTGTATGTATCGATGTGTTAATTTTCCACTTTTGTACTTAAAATTCTAGTTAGAATTGTTTCCTGAATTTCTACCCATAGGTGCCAATGGTCTTGCTAATCCTCGAGACTTTCAGACCCCATCGGCTTGGTATGAAGACCGTGATGTAACCAAATATACAGTCATTAACAAATACCAAGGTCATCTGTTCAAAGCTAGTCAGGTAAGCAGGAAACAGCCTCGACATTGCACCACCTTATCCTGGGTAACCTGACAGCATGTTATCTTTATCATCTCATCTGGCGGAAAAGGCAGAGTGAGCGAATGCCATCTCATACCTTTAATATTATCACTAATAGTCATGAACCATGAAGCAGATTTTGACCAAAATTGATCAAAAGCATCCTAGAAGAATGGGGATCTGATATAGTGTTAATGGTGAGTGTTTAGCCCTCAGGGCCAGAGGGATTGGACTCAATAGGGGAAATTTAGTAAATTCTTTAAAATCATTCTTCTTCTGTCCCTATTTTGTCTGAAGCATCCCTGGGTGAATAGGAATTAATTTTGTATAGAGGGTGGGAATTATCATTTAGAACAATTTTATTTAAAGAACTCTAATACTTACGAAGTACTTGGCAGAATATTTAATCTCAAATTTCATAATTAGATCCCCTTCAGGCTTTGTTGTTCAAAAATAGACAGGAGACCTTCTATTATATCCTCTTCTCAAATTTTGCCAATTAGTTTGATTAATACATGTCCATACAATATGTAGCTAGGAACAAATGAGATCATAGAAGAGTAAGGAAGGGGAAAGATTCAGTTTCTATAGAGCCTATATAGATCATAAAATGATGGGTCAAGATCTATGAATAGAAACTTTCATAATTTACATATAGGATCTGACATTAATTTGGTATGAGATTTTATTATTCGAGTCCTAGAAGCTTTTCATTTCTGCTTTCTAAGACTTCAGGAGTATTGGTTCCATCATTTAATATTTGTACCATCAGATGGTGGACTATTCAAATTGCCCTGTTTGTCGTCAGTTCGGCTGTCCTTCAACTTTTCTAGTTATCACCTTTTCGTGAGAAGTACTCGATGGATCTATTCAAAATTTCATATGAAGGGTCCCCTTGATCCCTAGTTGTGCATTGTCCCATTTTCAGACTGATCCAAAAATCAACGTCATTGACAGATGGATTTTGACACTTATAGTTTGTTATCATTATTTCTTGAAAAGCACATACTGGTACTCATCTTCCCTAGCTGAACCCTTTTAATTTTGGAATTGGTCAGAAAATAAATTGGCTAACAGGCAGCTGTCTTAGATTTTTATTCTGGTATCGTTTTTTCTTCAGAAATACGAGATGGATCTTTCTCAAATTTGATATCTAGGTTCCCTTTGGTCTCTAGTTGTGTCCATATTATTTTCAGTATGATTGCGGTTGTAGAAACATAAAGACTGACAGTTGACCATCTTGGATTTTGACACGGAAAGTTTTTCCACTATTGCTTTAGAAGTGCAATTTTCAGATGTATGTTTGCCTTGGTCTCTTGTTGTGCCCTTTTGATTCTTGGACTATCAGAAAAACAAAATACTGACAGGTGACTATCTTTTGTCTGACAGATGGAGATTATTTTTGCTTTTTCTTGAGAGGAATTCTTAATTTTCATATCATTTATAGCAAATGAGAGGAGATAAGAGTGAAAAAAAAATATAAAGATCAAAAAATGATTATTTTATATTTTTGTTTTTTCTTTCAGACACATTCCCCGTTTGATGTTGTTGCTTGGCATGGCAACTATGCCCCATATAAATATGATCTTGCCAAGTTTTGTACAGTAAATACAGTCTCCTTTGATCACATGGTAAGTGCAACTTACATGGAAGATTGTTCAAAAGAACCCATGTAATGTTTGATATGACACAAGGATTTGATGAGAGTTTTTAGATTCTGTTTTTCACATAACTGATATACAGAGAAAATAAGCAAAAACACTCAATTTTCAAATTATATTGATACTTATATGTATCACATGAACATTGAAAAAAGTTTTGATATTTTACGCCAAAAGATATTGAAAAAGCCATACAGATAATTTTAAGTGGTATATATTGATAGATTTTATGAGGTCAGTAAGTTATTTTATTCTCTACCTCTTGTGTATTTACAATTATGTACAATTTCAGGACCCTTCAATCTTTACTGTGCTAACTTGTCAGTCAACTAAACCAGGTGTGGCTATAGCTGACTTTGTTATATTCCCACCTAGATGGGGAGTGGCTGACAACACATTCCGCCCACCATACTATCATAGTAAGATCTTTTGTTTATCTAGAAACTCAAACTTCGGTAACACCTGAACTTATTAAATTATTGCACTTAACTATTACAATTATCCTGTCAGTAAGGCAGGATGTTCAAAACTGAAAATGTGTGTAAAATGATAATAATTCTATCGATACAAATGAAAATCGTTCATATGTTAAACTTGTATAACGGTGCACAAAATGTAATGATTTTATCAATTTGTTTCTTTCACAGGGAACTGTATGAGTGAGTTTATGGGTTTGATACATGGATCATATGAAGCAAAGGTAAATAAGATTTATTACATTTTTGGCGTTGAAATATAGAGAAATGTCACATTGTTATTTTTCACTTGTGAATGATAACATATTTTTGTTCTTTTCTAGTGAAAAATAAAACTTTTGCATATAAACACCAATGAAAAGAGAGAACACAAATCATCTTATAAAATTGACAAATCACTAAGCCTGGTACAAAAAAACAAAACCAGAGACCTGAAGGGGTTGTTTACTAATGACAAAACCAGAGACCTGAAGGGGTTGTTTACTAATGACAAAGCCAGAGACCTGAAGGGGTTGTTTACTAATGACAAAGCTAGAGACCTGAAGGGGTTGTTTACTAATGACAAAACTAGAGACCTGAAGGGGTTGTTTACTAATGACAAAACGTTCTTTTTCATGGTAGACATTCATTTCAAAGGAAGTCAACAAGCAATGCAACTAAAATTTCCTTATCAGAGATCCAGCCCAATCCTCAACCGAAGATCTAGAGCTAGACATTTCAAAAGGATTCTTGTCAACAGCGACAGCTAGTTTTATTTTCAGCCATGCATTAACTTGTCACAGATTAAACTCTCTCTGAACGCTTTACAGCAAATTTTGTTCGATATATTTTAAACTTTTAGTGGCCACAAAAAGCATAGTCAGTTTTGTCTTTCTATATCTGTACTTAGTATGTCAGGAATTTGGCTATTTTGCTTGTGAAAATGTATTAGATAGAATATCTAATAGTGTTTTTAGCAATAACAAATGTATTTCACTCGTGTGTCAAAATTTTTTGTATCGTTCACTCGTGCTGTGCACTTGTGAAAAATGCTAAAATATTAGACATCGTTGTTAAATATATTTGTTATTACTTTAAACACCATTAGAGATCCTCTATTTAGTTGTTTCTTATTTTTCCAGATTATACATTGAATGTTGTTACTATCAGCATCAAGTCGAGCATCATCCTTTGATTTAGGACCATGGTTAGAGTCTATGATAACCGTTGATTAGTAGAGCATCAAAACGTACCAAGCTTAAGTAAAGATATAAGTAATGTTGTTCAAATGCTACCTGGGACTGTCTCTCAGAATGAACAAGGACTGTCAGGGCTGCCATGGTTGTGTCCCTGGGCAAGACTCTTTATTCAGATTGCTTTGGATACCATCTGATGGGTCTCCAACATGTTTTGCAAGGAAAAACCCACTTCAAATTGACACTAATTGTTCATGGGAAGATAAACCCTACAAACACACAAGCTAACAAGATCAGGAGTTTATTGTTAAAACATCTTATGAAATATTATTCTTATATTGAAACAGTATCTTATTGACACAGACATTGCTTCAGTACTTTCATAGACCAATATTAAATGTTGAAAATCCTACAGTAAACCTATTCAATTATGTAATGAAAATATGATCACAGATAATTAGAGAAATTTATATGACAGGAGCGTGCATCAGTGTTTGTTCTTATATCTTTTAAGGAAGAAGGATTTCAACCGGGTGGCGGAAGTCTTCACAGCATGATGACTCCTCATGGTCCTGACGCAAAATGCTTTGAAGGTGCTTCAAACGCTGCCCTGAAACCACAGCGTGTTGCGGACGGTACGATGGTAAGAAGCTGGGACTTCTGGTGTTTTGTGACTATTGGAATTCTTCTTTTCATAACCCCTTGCCACTTTGAGGTTGCAGGCATATAGTGTTGGGCAGTTGCTTTTCACGCATTCTGTCTTTAATGTATACCAATAGAGACTGTAATTAGTATGTAGTTGTACAATAATAATATGGAAATCAAGACTTGATTTGATTATTGTCAATTGTTTTTTAAATAACTATTTATGTTTAAAAATGAATTTATTATGAGTGGGAATTAAGAAAAGTTAAAATCTGCAGACAGAAGTTCAATTTTATCTCTGATTTACAGGCAGAATGTAATTTTATTTTTCACTCTTTACCATAGATTTGTCATTTTCATTTAAGACGTCATGGGTATACCTTTTACAAAGCTAGTGATACTAAAACGTTCTAAACTTCTCCTAGAATTCTCTTGGGGTCATTTTGTCCCACAGACCTATAAAATACTGTGTCATCCAACAAAATGTCTTATCTATCAAAGTGGAGATAGATGAAACAGTTTTATAAATGAAGATCTCATTTAGAGTGATCATGGTCATTCATGTTGACATCAAATATAATCCTAACATCATTTATTGGTTCAGTAACTACTGTTAAAAAGATTTTCAAGGTAAACAAGGATACATACATAAGAACATTGCAGTAATATGTTTTCAACGATAATATTTGTTTATGATAGGTTCATAGGGACCATGAATAGTAAGCATGAACATTAAGATTGATTTATATGAAACAAAAGCTCTAGCTATCTTCAGTAACTGCTGAACTATCATAACTTAAATGGGTTGCATCATTTTGAAAGTAAATATGATTGCTAATATTCTTTTACTGATTTTTCAGAACCTAATGTGGTGTTTTGTGTCTGTCTTGAAAATACTAACAATTAAAAAGATGGATATATAGCAGGAGGTTGCCTTAGTGTTTAGAGGACAATTTCTGTTTCACAATACGTCCAGTTATTATGGAAAATAGAAATGTATACATGAGTAATTAAACTGTTTTCCCATTTCAGGCCTTTATGTTTGAGTCATCCTTCAGTTTTACCGTGACAAAGTGGGGCAATAAGACCAAAGTGGACAATACATATTACAAGTGCTGGCAGTCACTCCAAAAACACTTCACACCACCCAAGGCTGACATAAGTGGTGGGTTTGATTCGGGGGTGTAATAGATACAGAAACCAGTGATTTATAAATATCTTGTTTAACATCTCATTCTTTCTGTTGTTCCGTCTTAATCCTAATTTGTTCTGTATATCATTTAATAGTTGGGCAGGAAATACAACAGTATTGGTTCTTTAAGACTAAGTCAAAGTTACGTATTGAAGATGACATTGAATTTGTTAGGTCAGTTATATGATTGATGTTTCTTAAGGATTGTTTATCTAGGTCAAGTAAAGTAGTTGTCAGATACATTAATATACAGCTTTGTTTTCTGTAGAAATTTTCACCAGATCAGAGTTATAACAGTATGTAGTGCTAGAATTCTTATAAGTTTTGAAAAAGTCAAGCATTTTCATGTAGAAGTACAATGATGTTGAAAAGTAAGTATTATATCTATGTTTAATGAACATACTTTCTGTCCATTTAATTTACTTTGAATATTTTTTCATCAGTTTGCATTAAACAACTCTTTTAATTTGGCTTTTTGTTATTGCGCTGTTGCTTTTATTGTTTTGTTTAACGTGTTCATTTTCATTTCATTGCAGATGGACCCAGCAAAGCTAAAAAGGCAAAAAATTGATAAATCTGGTTGTCTTGCTTTATTTTCAAAAACCTCTGAGTATAACAGCTTTATACAACCTCTGAGTATAACAGCTTTATACAACCTCTGAGTATAACAGCTGTATACAACCTATGCAGTTTTCTTGTCATTTAACTGATTATACAGTTAAGTGGCTTGCTTTACCTTATAATTCATATTCAGAGTCTATAGATATCATAATCAGTATGTGTCCCGTGATAAGTACAAGAGGCCAGAAGATAGTCTGTGACTCAAAATAGGACGGTGGGCTTATTACCGGATAATGATGTAGCATTGAATGCTGCCTTTCCAGTTTGATTCAAAGTTCAATATATTTAATTCTGGGGTTGTCTGTGACATGATTTTCAGATTTTGTTATCCCTAGTTAAAATTTCAAGTGTTGTTATGAATAGATACCCTAACCATGTCAGTGAAGGAGGTTATCACATATCAAAGTTATTTCATTTCAAACTCAATGAATAATCATAGCTTAACAAATTACTTTGACCTTTTGGTAGAGTTGAAAATCAAATAAAATATCAGATATTAACTGTGTTTATTTTACAACAATTGCAAAACAAGTTATTTCAACTTATACTAATCACTCTTGTTAGCCCGGATGTAAGCACACGAGGGGTCTTATTGTGGGAGGAAACTGGGGTACCGGGGAAAAACCATGTGGTCGGGCAGGTGACCCTTACTTTTTCACGTATGTTCTGGGAATTGAAACCCTAGATGGCAAGGTGAAAGGCGAGTGCGTTACCACTGCGCCACATGACCACCCTGGTTGTGTTAAAGTACAGTCCATCACCTCAGAGGTTCCTCATGACAAGATTCCATGAAAAACATAGTTCATTATTAAGATGACAAAACTTTTTTTTTCACATGGTTTCACATAGAATCAGCTGTTACAGTATTTGATGATAATTAGAGAATATATTGATGAAAAATGCGTTAGCATTCACCAAAATAAGGGGAACAAAATTCCTAACTTCTAGTCAGCAAACCAACGCAGTGATATGACTGACACGAATGGCAGCTATTGGCATCTCGCTGAAGTTTTAGTGGAGGTGATTGAAATTAACAGACACAGGCTTATTGCTGGATAAATATAGTATATGTGTTGATATGCCCATCCATCATAATTGATGCAAATGTTATAAAAAGGCATATTCTGGGTGACTCCAGGCATCACTGTTTTTGATTCCTTGTTACTTCATCTTCCAGTTAAGTTTTCCAGATCTAGAAGTGTATTTTGTAGAGAAAAAGTGTCACACTTAGTAACTGAATCACCAATCCCTTTATATATATAAATGTACATAGTTTGATCTTTTATCCATCTTCAAGGCATTCTTGTTTTACTTTGATTTGGAACATACACATTATTAAAAGTTTTGTCAAATAGGAGAACATAAAAGGATTTTTAAAGATGGGAAAGTAATCAGTCCTGTATCTCTTCATTAATTGCTTTTTTCAGTATCGATATATTGATAATTGAGTTGCAAGGATTATCCAAGAACTCTTTGTTTTGCAATTTGTCTCGAATGAATAGTTGTATGTGATGGTTCCACAGGAGTATAAAATAGATTTGCCAATAATCCAGTATGCCTTCAATATTTATTTTCTATTCAACACCAGTTGGAAAAGTGTTTAATGAAGGTGTTTCATGCAATATTCCTCGGTTGAATCTGAGCTGAAGAATGCAATATCTTCAGAAGATGTGATAAGGTTATATTGTCAAAAGGCAGTGGACAATCATTTCGGAAACCAAGCTGGTCATTCTGGTACCCTTGGATTTTTCTGTTGTTATCAATCTTTTGCCCCCAGTATAGGAATCTGAAAATAGTGTTCTCAATATTTACCCTATAATAATCCCAACACATTTTTTGACTGAAAGTAGGTGATATTTGTAGAATTTTTCCCTGATCACAAATAGACATGGATTTAATACAATTAACTTCTTATCGATGAATACATATATATAGGAGAATATGGTTTTTTTAATCCTGTCACTTAGTGTTATCAATAAAACATATGGATCTCACAGAAGGAGTAAACAAGATATTAACATCATTCCTTAATGGTAGGTTATCTTTATTGGATGTCAGAAACTGCGATATTTGTCTTACTGACATTTATAAAATATTTGAATGATTTAAGTATTAAACCTACTGTATTGATTTTGTAATGGAGCTACATTACATCTTATCCTAAGCAAGCCAGTGGTGTTAATACATTGTTTTAATGGATTGTGATATTGTTTCTGTAGTCCGGGTATATACAATGTCAGACATTAATCTATACATCTATGATTTGTTTACATATGTAGTCTGTGTAGCATATCTGATCAGAGGTATTATTGCATGGTACTAGTATGTAGTGAAGTATTATTGTGTATGTTTTTATTGATATCCAAGACATTGGACAATTTTAATTGTGATTTGTGAAATCACCCAATGTACATATCAAATCAGTCATAAAATTGGAAATCCATACAACCAATGAAAACATATTTTATTTAGCAATGTAACAAAGGGATGGGGAGCAATTTACCACCAATTCAAAATTCCTTCTTGCAATAAACTTATATTGTTGAAGTTTCACAAGTTTTGTTCAAGTGTGTTAAGAACAAAAATTGTAATTCATGCCAAGATATTTGAGGCTTGATGTACAAACTGTCATTTGTGACATCGTTTTATATTGTTATACATTATACACCATGTTGAATACATCTTTTATATATTTAGCCAGAAATGTAATTTCGAATGGTCATATCTAGATACTTTCCTCTATTTTTTTCACGGTGTTGTTTCCTCTTGCTTTGGAGGAACAGCCAAATTTGTTGTTCCTTTGTTTATCATTGTCCTCACAATTTTCTCAATGCAGAGACAACGAATTACAGCACGCTTTTGTACTCTGTTCCTTAGGCACATCAGAGAAAATCATTTCCTTATCTAGATTGCAAACTTCCACAACTTTCTTTTTATTTTCTTTGTGTTAACATTATAATGAGGTGAAGTGTAACATTTGCCAGACTCTTGTCTTGTCACAATATTAAAAATAATGTTGTATTAGTCGGTGTATTTTTTTATACATATCGTTGTACATGTTTGAATCTCTATTCACAAAATGTTTACTTCATTGTCTCAATCTCTTTTTTGTACAGGAGGCAGTTGGTGCCGTAATTATGACTTTGTTATTTCAGTTGTATGACATGTATGTCATAATTACCATTTAGTAATCTCAGAAGTAGTTTATAGTTCAGTATGATGAAATCAAAACTTTGTTATCTCATAATTACCATTTATGTCACGATAACAGCTATGTCATAATTATGATACTGTTGTATAACAATTACAGCTTGGTTATCTCATTATTGATTATGGCTTAGTATGTTATATTAACAAATTAGTAAGTTGTAATTACGATATAATTATGTCCTAATTAAGTCTTAACATAGACCTTTCCTATTATGATAATATAATTATTTCATGACTTAGTCATAAATCCGACACAGCTTACATTGAATCACAGCTAACTTATAGTAACCATGTTTTGTGTTCTATACTTTTTACTTGACTTTACCCATGCCTTCATATTCTTTCTAAAAATTCTTGAAATCTTTATTCTCTCACAATTTTTTTTTTTTTTTTTTGTACCTGAATGGTGTAAATTTCAAGTTGTTCATTTGGCAAAACCTATAGCACATCTTTCGGTCTTCTGAATTCATTGAATAGTTTTAGGGAACTTTGTTAAAACATTCAGCTTTTTGGTGAATAACACAAGGAAGTATCATGAAAAAGGAAAATCATTCCTGAAAGGAATTAAAATATTGTATAATCAACTTATCATCAACTGAATAATTATCTGTACCTGGTGTTGTAACTTCCGTGCATGAATGAATATGAATTGTAATTCAAATATCTGCATTACACAGAAACTGTATTATCCATAAATAGTACACAAGTATTGTACTTTTTGAAATGTCATTCATACCACTTTTGAATGTGCAATGAAGCTTAACAAAGATTTTATTGTGTTGATGAAGTACTCGTAGATTGTAGCTATAAATCATTGGAATAAGGACGTTTGAATAAACAGTGCTTTCAGACATGTTCGTTTTATTATTATTTCTAGCCGATTTGGTCTAAAAATCAATCCTCAAAGTTTGAAATACATGTAATGGTGGTAGTAGTTTGACCTGAAATCAAATTCGTGTACAGAGTTCAAAATGAAAAGTTTGATGTGTTAACATGTAATAGTGGTAGTAGTTTGACCTGAAATCAAATTCGTGTACAGAGTTCAAAATGAAAAGTTTGATGTGTTAACATGTAATAGTGGTAGTAGTTTGATTCGTGTACAGAGTTCAAAATGAAAAGTTTGAGAATAGAATGCTATAGGTTGTTTTCTTGATATAATTTTATTTTGGTACTTGACCTCCTTGTGTTGTACCCACTTACAAAGTTTAAACAAAGGGCGTGATATGATCTATAAATTGTTTAATATAAAGATCAAATGTGGTAACAATGTCTCCTTTTAAATTTGTGGCCAACTTCCCCTCATAATAGTGGATTGTGGTTCAACAATATTAGCTCACAAGCATAGGGTAGAATTAAACGAGTTAAGTGTTTGATTTTTTTTCCCTTCTTTTCTCTTCTCTGTTTTTGCTCTTAATGATAAGAAATTTGAACATTAATTCTATGCAGAAATAACAATAATAATCTTCAACTGCCAGATCCAAGATGGTCAGCTGGAAGCCATTTTTTTCCTGATAAGTATCAAAAGTAAACACACACAACTAAGGATAAAAGGAAATTTGAGAGAGATCCATTGAGTACTTCTCAAGAAATAGTGATAATCTTTAGTAGGCACAATCCAAGATGGCCACCTATCGGACATCATGTTCTTCTGATCAGTCCCAAAATCAAACAGGCACAACTAGGAACCAAGGGGAACCTATGTATGAAATTTGAGATAGATCTATTTAGTACTTCTCAAGAAATAGGGATAACAATTGTTGTTTATGAACGGATGGATGGACATAGGGCGATTTGAATAGCCTACCATCTGATGATGGGCTAAGAAAGGACAATACAGATAAATTTGTTTTTATGAAAAATACCTTTAATATCACTAGCCATGTTCATTGTAAACACTACAAATACATTTTTTCCATACTTTTCAAACTTTCCACTGGTAGTTTTACAGAAGTTAGAGTATCAGGAGAAATCGGACATGTACGTACACGAATTAAATTGCATCCTTCAATCTATATAGACTATATAGGACCAGATCAGTTTACACCAGTCCAGCTTGGTAAATGTTGGAATCCTTCAGCAAACTATGATGGTCCTTTTAACAGTCTAATTTCATTTAAACCATGAACATGTTGTTTCATTCAACTTCCATACTGTAAGATTTCTTCAACACTATTTCATAACTTGTACCCTCATGATATCTATATACAATAGCATATATTATGCAATGATATGTCAAGGAGACAATAACTTCACTGCTGTCTGCTGACATCAAAGTTCATCTCTGCTCTTTACCTGCACTTAAAATCTCACTTGACCTGCAATTAAAATTTAAACTGAATCTGTCAATTTGAGTCAACATAATACTGTTGGATTCTTTCACTTGAGGTTTGGAAATATTGCCCTCCACACTTTGGCACATACACACCAGTTTATTTTGATTAAAACGTATCAAGGGAGACAATCACTGTAGTGTCTTCTTTCTTGACCTGTAATAAAACTTAACTGCTCCCATCGACATCTGTTCTGTCTGATTCTTTCACTAAAGATTTGGAGAATGGTGCCCTCCACACTCTCATATAAACTGTACATGTGGATGGGGATTTATCAATGGAGACAATCCTGATCCTTTTCATTTTATTATCGTCTACAATGACATCTAGTGCATCTCCACTTTTCACCTGCAATTAAATACTTTGCATTACAAAAAATGGCAATGGAAAATGAAGGTGTCTTTACATTGTTAACAAAAGAGATTATCTTAAAGCCTGTATCTGTAGAATGGACAGTTGTGGCATTAATTCAAAAATAACATTTTTTGAAAAATGTATTGTAATGTATACAAGGCTATTTATAATTTTTACTTCAAATTAAGGTAAAAATGCAAAAAATTTAAATTGTGAAAAATAACAAAACACAAAGGTTTGAATCTAATGAGAATAATAGGTTTATTTCTTTACAATATTTCTGATAACTCCGCAAAAGGACAACCATCTGAACTCGGAGCTAACTATAACTCCCTCACATGTTTAGGTTCTTTTAACTCGTAACAACAAGGAAGTAACATCCATGAATTATCCTTTAATATTTGATTTTATAGTCTCATTAGAATACTTTTTTTAAATCTTTGAAACATATTCAAGCAATTACTCGAGTTTCTGAGAAACTTCCTTTCGGATCTAGCCCCTGGTTACTGACTTGTACCATTCTTTACTAAGAAACTGTTGTGAAGCCGTAACGTGTTAAAAAGATGCTAAATTGAAACCTTGGATTATCTCTTAATATTTGAAGAGAGAGTGCCGATTAGCCTCATCTCTATGTTATTACACTAAGACTAAGTTATAACCTCATGTTTGAACTTCTAGCACAACCATACATATATTTGTATGGTTCAAATATCAGGGTTTGCATTTCCACCCCTAAAGGATTTTTTTTTTCTACTTGAGGTGTCAGATTTTGTTTTCCTATTAGGCCTTCCAACTCTGTCCTCTAGACCCTCCCCATCCCTCACAGGTATGGGGTGACAAACTTGGTGTTTGTAGTATACTATAGACTGCCTTTGGCCAGCATTTATCTCAGACCCAAAGCTGGTAAAAACATCAAAACCTGTTTAAAAGTTGATGAAATTGTAAACTTCAATACAAAATCAATATATTGACCTACTGTAACATTTTTGGATACTACTGGAAATTACAGAATAGTGTTGGTTTAACTTCACACCATATAGGTAGATACAAAACAGTTCAATATGTAGGTGTTCAAGGTGTCTGAATACAGTCATTTGTCTTTTGTTTATACAAGTTTGACTTTGTAGTGTGAGTGACATTAAAATGTGTAATGGTAATAGAGCGAGATTTTGAGGTTACTCATTAAAGTTATTTATACAAAACTCCATAAACTTTATCTCTCTGAGTCATTGTGTTCATTTGCCATACTTCAAATACTGTAGACAGAATTTATTGACAAAACCAAATTTTAATAAAGTTACAAAAATCAAAATTTTGAACAAATGGCATAATCAATTCATATATAGCCTTCTGGATAAGTGATATCCGTAAATTAAGGTGTGCAGGTGTGTTCCTGTCACTTCTATAAGTGAGGTAACTTACATGTGTACTTTTGGACTTTAAAGGAAGACCGTTCAGCTTACATTTCTGTTCCGCTAATTCATTTACAAACTGCCTGCAAAGAAATAATTAGTAATGTCCATACAGAATCAAGCATCTAAACATATGTCACTTATTCAGAAACTTATTTTTTTTTAAGAAAAGGATTTCTAAAATTAGTAACAATGATCTTGACCTTGACCATACAACCCTGAAACTTGAATCTGTCAAAGATGTTATGGTCCTTCAGAAGTGTGTGGAGATAAATGAGAATTTCTCAAGGAATGAAAACACTAGGGCATTGAAAAGGATTTACTTATAGTAGTAACACTGACTTTGACCTTGACATACAATTCTGACTATCCAACTTGTGAAAGATATTATGTTTCTTACTAAATGTGTGCTGTTTGATGAAAATTCCTCAAGAAATAAAGCTGCTGGAGTGCAGACTGTCTAAAAATAGCAATGGTGACTTTGACCAGACCCTTGATCCCCGAATTTCAACTCCAACAAGATGTAATGGTCCTTTTTATAAGTGTGAGAAAGCTCAACATCACCGGAAGTACAGGTGACTTACTTGCTTGACATAATAAAGCCAAATCTACACAGTGAGTCGTATCTGGGTTGCGCTATATTCCGCTTCAACATCTTACAATTTGCTGGCAAATTTGTATCACCACGGAAGCTGGTATCAGGAAATGCCTTCAAAATAAAATCATGTTTTTTTTTTATATATTCACATTTATCACATAATCTGCCTGTTGTTCAGTGAAATAACCCATGCTATATTTTTGCATATATGTCACCAGCGTAATATAGCCCGAAGCGTTCACAATGTCATAATATAGACAATGAAAGTAGGAAATCTAAATGGCTGTCTCTGCTTGGATTAGTATTCCACATTTTTACGATAAACCTGTCAAAATGTATCTATGTGTGTTTTTGATAAAACACATCTTAATTTTTTTTATATTTTATATTTTTTTTCATTTAATTTTTTCACAATAACTTTGCAAAAATGAAAACTTCATTGACATCACCCAGAGACGTATACATGTGTTATATATGTCTCTGCTTTACCCAAGCACACTGATTTAATATTCTTTATGTATCCATGGTGATGAGTCCAAATTCTTTCGACATTCTATTTTATATATCCGTCTGTAGACAATGAACAGCTGAGCAATATATATTTTTTAAAAAGTTGATAGGGTATTAGAATAATTCTGACAACAAATGTACAGATGAAATAAGATAAGGTTGGAGATGTATTTGACTTGCCAACATCAGCAGAAAATATGCGTTGTTCCATTCCTCACGCTAAACTATAATATGACGTCACAAAAATAAGAGACGTATATATCACGTGATATGTACGTCTCTGTAAAAATCAATTACACCCGTGGAAAAAATGCTTTTAAATTCAATTTTACTGAAATGTAATATTTACGAAAGTTTTACTATTATCCTTGCCTTTTTTCCTGACTTTACATTTACATCGTTATCCAAGTCATCTGCATCGCTCCATTCTCCGTCACTATCGTCATCACTTTCGCTTTGACCGGCGACTAAATCGTCTTTCTTCTTTCCCTTTACTGACTTATGTCTCTTTTGCACAAATGTCGTGTGAGCATGTCTAGGTCTTAAGAGTTCTGTAAAAGTACCAGCGTAAAGAACGTTTATTTGCCTTAGAAGAGTAATCTTGGACCCGCACACTTCGTTTCCTCGTTTTTCAGTACTCTGACCCTGTGGTGACGCGTGCACATCGTTGATGAAATTATGGTGAACGTTGCTTCGCGATGGAAAGGTTGATACATATTCGAAACCACATCTGAAAGTTGTATTAACTTGCCGTCGACACAGAGAACGAAATATATACATCACGTTTGTCACATCGACATATAATAGTAGGAGTACTAAAAGCGGTTAGGGTGAAAATGGGCACGCCATAGCTTACCTGGCCCGGTCCAAAAAAACCTATCAGGAATATAAGAAACATTTCATCCCAAGAACAACAAATCTAATAAATATGACATGATATACGAAAACTAATTTTGATACTTTAAACCTAGGATATTTATTTCATTTTCTGTTTTTCACCGCGAAAAGTTCATATTTTTCACATATAAACAAGGTTTGATTTCAGTATGTTTTGGCTGAGAGGAAAACATCTATCTCGCTTCTAACGTGTTGATTAGTACACCAATAAATACATTAATTTAGCATGTTTACGTTTGCTACTACAGACCAGAGACGTATATATCACATATACGTCTCTGTACAGACATTGTCGCTTTTACTGACTTCATTCCCGACTTTAGTGCTCACCTCTATTTATCATCGCGCGCCGGATATAAACAAAATTGGCGCTGTTTTGTCAATCTGTAGATACACTTTTGACATTGTCGCAGACTACTTCAACATACCGACATTGTGATGTCAGACAGCCGTTCAGAATCAAATGATACACTAGAAGAGTCCGCAATACACGAAAAGAACGATGACTTGGAACGGGTCGTATTTCAGTGCAGTCAGTGCAATTCGATCGTCGGGGATTCGTCGGCGTGGACAGGTTCCAATGAAATACTACGTACAATCAGCCTAAAATGTAAGTTTTCATCTGAACAAGAAATCACAATTACACGGGATCAATCAAAATGTTGAGGAAAAACGTGTTGATTGTGATATTTAAACATGGATTTCCAATTATATTTTCGCATAATTATTTAAGTAATCTTCCAGTGAAATTGGGAAGTAATACTCCCAAGTTAGAAAGATAATTACTCAAACGCCTTATTTGCAAAATATCATAAAATGTAAAATCATGTTTTTATTTCACCTGTCGCATAGGGCTAAAATGCCTTTGCGCATCGTCCATCGTCAGTTGGTTTCCCTCTACCAACCTTTACTAATTGTACTTAGAATATCGGCAGGCATATTCGACAAATTGTCAAGTCTGACTTTACATGTATGTATATAGGACCAACGTAAACAAAGAGATGAAGTCCCATCTTGTTTCTAATTTGCAGATAAATGATAACCAATCGAGTAAGTTAATGAAATGATTTTTTTAGAAATATTGTCATGACATCGGTCCCGTACCTCAATGTGTTTCGGAACAGCGATTTTGTCAGGCTCTATCACGTGAACTATTGACCTAGCTTTGATAGGTAACCTCTCACTCGTATGATTTTGGTTGCTGTAACACTTAACAGATGACCACTAATGTGACCAAGAATAATACACTGTAGGTCACGCATCGTTGCAATTGTTTGCTGCAAAAGACCAAACATACACAAAAGCAATTTGATGATTTCCAGATTTAAATTAATCAATCAGTTGTAGGCAGACAGGTGGAAAAAAAACTTCATCTGAATAGATCTTGGTATGAAAACGGTCAGTTTAGAAAAATAGCTCATTTGAGGTTAAAAAAAACCTGTTGGGACATTTCTCAATCTTTTATGTAGGGTTTTCTCTGTTCCAAGGTGTGCCCATTCAATTTTTAATCTGATCAGGGGGAAAAAATGTTGTAGGTACCAAGTTAATCATTCAATTTTAACTGGAGAAGACAAAACAGCTGACCTTAAACCAACTTTAGCTTTGACAGTTGAAGTTTGTTATTGCTATTGCTAGGTAAACTCTTGTTGGGTTTATTCTTATATTTCATATGTAGGATTCTTATCATATATCTGATTGAGAGGGAAAAGTAGAGAAAATAAACATCATTCACCAGTGGGCACCATGATCACTCTGGGATCTCAAAGGCTTCTTTTTATAAAACATATTTTTAACCCTCTGTCATCAGAAGGTGTGCTGTTCACATCACCCTATTTGTGGTTTATTAAAAAATAATCCTTGATATCACTGGATCTTTCTCATTTCATTTGCCGCGACCTAATTGTGCCAGTTCAATTTTGGGGCTAATCAGGGATGAAAAATGACTGATAAAGTGAGCATCTCAGATTTGGACTATGAAAATTAGATATTGATATTTCATGAAAAGTACTTGATGTATTTTTTTTCAAATTTGATCCCTATAGCTAGTAGTGTCTGTTTAATTGTGGGACAGATTAGGAAAACAAAATGACTGATTAGTGTTTATCATTGATTTGGGTTGTGACAGTGTGTTATTTTCATTTCTTGACATACTTGATGGATCTTTCAAAGACTTCATGCAGAGGTTTCCCTTACCATGAGTTTTGCTCTTCTGATTTTGAGATTGATCAGAAAGACAAAATGGCTGACAGACGACTATTTCATAAGTAGTTAACCTTTATTATCCCCATTTTCCACATGGGAATTTTCAAGTATCATTTATTTAAGAACAAAAACACAAGGAAAAAGAAGAAAAAAAAGGAAAAGGATTCAACTTTTAAAAAACGATGGTGAGCACCAAGATCCCTTTGGAATCTTTTGTACCCTTAAGCCAAATGAAACTGATTCAGGCTCATATTTATTTCTCAGCATTTCAGGTGAATGTTAGAAATAGAAAGTCAAGAACACATTATCAATTATATTTCAACTGATTAGTTTCAAATAAAATTCCAAAATGGATTTGGAGAAATCAATAGCAAATTTGATTTTTGTGTCCTGACCAGTGATGATCACAAAAAAACAAACACTTGTTGTCATCTTTCGATTTTTTATTGCCATCATGATTTGTCTGTTGTTGGCGTCGTTAACTTTTCACATATTCGACTTCTTCTCAAGAACCAGTGGATGGCTTTTGACCATACTTGGCACAAAGCATCCCCATGGGAAGCCGCTTCAAGTTTGTGAAGAAAAAGGGCGTGGCCCCAATAGGGGCCCCAGGAGGGGGGAAAGGGGAAACTTGATACGAATGCTCTACACAAGGTCCTGGCAAGTGTTTTAACTTTTTAGGGTGATTCAAAATCCAAGATGGCCACCCTGGCCTTTGTTTGGCTAAGACATTTTTGGACTTCCTCTCAAGAATCACTGGGTGGATCATGTTCAAACTTGGTTCAGATGTTTTACACACGGTCCTGCACAAGTGTTGTTACATTTTTGCAACATTTTAAAATCCCCAGATCATTGACATATATTCCTCAGGTGACCATTACGGCCCCTTGGGTCTCTTGTTAATTCTTGTCGGAGATTTGAACCAAATTTTTTTACCCTGATCATGATACCCGTTAGTTATTTACATTATTGTGACTCTAATAGAAATCTAACATGGCTGCAGTGATATATTGGTTTTTTTTAGATGTTAGCAAGAAAGTGGAAGTAAAAGACAGGTTGATCACTTCAAAAATAGGCACAGATTTGGGAAGGTATTTCATCTAACTATGATTTTAAGCAGAGGTGTATAAATCACATATGTATGTGATATATCGGTGGAGGTTCTGTTTTCTGAAAACTAGTTACCCAAGATTTCTTCTTTATAATAAATAAAGTAACAAACTTGATAAATAATGTCATATCACTATCACACAACATGCAGATTTTATAGTTTCAAGAACTTTGAATGATTCGAGAAAACTGGACTTTGAATTGTTTCTCATAAAGTGCTATTATGGATATATATAGAATATGGTTTTAATCAAAATAAGGGATTATAGTATAAGGACACATTATGTATACATGAACTATATCCAGTGAAACAATGAAGAAAAATTATTTGTTTGTAGTACATATAATACACTGCAGTGTGAAGTGTGTAAGGGAGATTTGGGACGCCTGTACAGAACTACCCCTGGAAATCTGGATCATATGCGAGACGTCTACACGCTGTATGTGGAAAAAATCTCCAGGTAATATAAATGGAAAGATACTACCTTAAATCTCATGATGAATCACCTCGTCATTTGTGACTGGTGCTGGAAACGAGTGATGAGCAAGGTCTTCCCATCACAAGAATGTGACTAAAATTGAGATCCATATATGGTAACCACACTAACGTAATAGGACCATCCATTTCTATTTCATTTCATGTAAATAGATGATAAATGCTATATCATTATCCAGTGATAAACCCACCTCATGCCTTGACTTTGAGGTGAGTGTAATGTGTTGGTCCCTAACTGCAGGATAAATACAGTTGTAAATTTGTAAAAGGTGTCAATAAAAAAAAGTCTCATTATTATGTATCTTATTACACACATCTATCTGATGTTTATCTTCTTTTGAAACAATTGAATATTTTCCAAAAAATCAGTGAAATATTAGGGAGTAAGGTATGCTTGTTAGCCCACCATCTATTCAAATAGATGGCGGGTTATTCAAATCGCCCTGCGTCTGTGGTCCGTTGTCCGTCTGTCCGTAAACAATTCTTGTTACCGCTATTTCTTGGAAAGTACTGGATGGATCTTTCTCAAATTTCATATGCAGGTTCCCCTTGGTCCCTAGTTGTGCATTGTACCTTTTTTGGACTGATTCGAATTCAAGATGGCCGACAGGCAGCCATCTTGGATTTTGGAAGTAAAAGTTTGTTACTGCTATTTCTTGGAAAGTACTGGATGGATCTTTCTCAAATTTCATATGCAGTTTCCCCTTGGTCCCTAGTTGTGCATTGTACCTTTTTTGGACTGATTCGAATTCAAGATGGCCGACAGGTGGCCATCTTGGATTTTGAATGTAAAAGTTTGTTACTGCTATTTCTTGGAAAGTACTGGATGGATCTTTCTCAAATTTCATATGCAGGTTCCCTTTGGTTCCAAGTTGTGCATTATACCTTTTTGGACTGATCCGAAATCAAGATGGCTGACAGGCCTTGTTACTGCTATATCTGAGGAAGTACTGGATGGATCCTTCTGATATTTCATAGATATTGGTTTCCCTTGGTCCCTAGTTGTGCATTTTACCTTTTTTGGACTGATTTGAAATCAAGGTGGCCCACAGGCAGCCATCTTGGATGTCGACAGTAATACAGCACAAGCATATTGTCCATTATCCACCTGTAACTGACTGCTATCTAATAATACTTTGGGATCTTTTTCAAATGATATTTGCTAATAGGTGCTTAATAAAAATATCTTGTGCCATCATTGAGTACATTCAATGAAAACCAGTTCATGAACATTTACAACACTTGTAACACACAAAAAAAATAAACAAATCATCAAGAACTGAAAACAGATCCTCAAATGGTGGGCGCCAAGATCCCTCTGGGATCTCTTGTTTTTATGTATCTATTCCACCTCCCTACTTTGTACTTTTGTCCAGTAATTACCTCACCTCCTGAATTTGATTCTGGCCATGTGTTCATTTGCTTATTGTAAGGTAAATAAAAAAAATACATTACTTTCTATTAATTTTTCAGCTACACTTTTGGAAGTTGTAACCAGGAAGATGATGTGAACATCAATGACCTTGTCACCTTAACCAATGTCAAAGAGCTTTTAAAAGAACTCAAAAAGGTATCAAAATCAAGCTTAGACAATAAAGTGAAAGTATAAGGAGGGTTAAATATAGAAGTGAAACTAAAAGTATATCTGTTATGTGTTTTAGGGAATTTAAAACTGGGTGAAAATGAACAGTGGTTTACAAGGGCGAAAACAACCATTTGAAAATGTTAACCTGAGTGCCTGATAAAACAACATACTGACAGCAGTAAGTTCAGACCCAAAGAACAGACTCAAATTTCTATAGAGTAAATGAGAGGAAACAGAATTATGATAGCTAAAGACTATGCTGTAGCCTATGGCAAGTCATACACTGGTTTCTCATTATTTTGTTTTAACTGTTGGTGGTTACTTTACAGCAGCTGTTCGGCTGTTGGTTGATAATACCCTTTTTGATGAGACAAGGGTACATCATCTTGTCATTAATTTCGTCTTTTTTTTCTTTTTGTGGGTTTTTTTATAGGTACATGTATTATAGTGTTTTAAATTTCATGATTTGCTGTTTTCTGCAAAGTGGGTAATTCACTTCGTAACTACTCGAGTTTTTGTGTCGCCAGCAAAGGTAGCAGACACTTAGGGATCACTTTGTCCGTCATCACACGGCGGCGGCGGCGGCATCCATACGAAAGTTTTCTGGACTTTTTTCGCTTATGCTTTGAGCTATCACAATGAAATTTAGTATATGGCTTCTTGTTGGAACGGTACAGATTAAGTTCGATTCCTGGCTGTCTGTAATCCTTCTTGGCAGAGTTATGCCTCTTTGAACTTAGAAAATTCTCTGGAAATATTGTTTTCCGGACTTTTTTGGGTCATCCTTTGAGTTATTGAAATGAAATTTGGTATTTGGCTTCTTGTTGGAAGGGTACAGATTAAGTTCCATTCCTGGCTGTCTGTAACCCTTCTTGGCAGAGTTACGCCTCTTTGAACTTAGAAAATTTTCTGGACTTTCTTTGGTTATGCATTGAGTTATAGAAATGAAATTTGGTATACGGCTTCTCGTTGGAAGGGTACAGATTAATTTGACATCCAGTTCGATTTCTGGGTGACCGTGACACTTTATGCAGGTGACGCATACAGTTCTGTGGAACTCTTTGTTTAGCATAATAATGCATTCAGCTCTCAATTAATGGTTACTTAAAATTGAGATTTTATGTATTGAGAACTCATTGATTTAGGAAAATGTAATTAACTATAGATTAAATAATGTTTACGTGATTATTTCTATAAAAAAAAACTATTTAAGAAATACCAGAATTTGGTATGTAATAAGTGGTATATTGATAAATACAGACCGATTTAATCATCACCAAAGGTTGTTTATGCAAATGATCACTCAACTCAACTTTTTTGTTAGAATGTTCTCAAAAATTGTGGTAATTTCTGACCGTTGTAATTTACCATGGAGTTAGTGTACATTGGATTGTTATTGTGTAAGGTAACTAAGAACTATACATATGACCGTTATCACAAACCTTCATTCCTCGGTATAGTATGGTCATTTTATTTGACTGCTCTCCAAATTGAAGTCATGTGATCCCTGACAGTACCTAAAGGAGAGTGAGACTTTCTATTAGACCAAAGGGGAGATAATTTGTAAACATAGCTATTGTTGCATATAGGTGTCAGTTGTGGTTTAGACCCAAGAAATAGAATGGTGAATGAATCAAGACCCAAGTGACTGCAATAAATGAATGGACATGTTTTCATGTATCTACATTTGGCATCACAAAAAAATTGTGAGTAATTTTTCAGTATAGGGTCATTTTAATAATAATATCCCGTCTCTGGTTCTTCTGTCATCATCTTAGCTAGCTTTATATGTTATGGTTCCTTCCTGGTTTCATAGGAAAATAACTGAATGTTTTATATATTCTAATGGTGTGTTAATTTTTTGCCAGTTTTTAGTTGTACAAACATAATCTACTATAAAATGGAATTCCATCTCAACATATATAGGGGTCAGTCAACAACAACAACAAAATGTTCTTATCTGGAGATAAATAACCTGTGTGAGTGATCCAGACCTACAGGTTTGAATGAGATTTTACTTGCATTGCTGCAAAAATATAATTCTGCAGTTTTTTACGTACCCAATGTTTCGGATAAATCTTTTGCAGCTTCAAACTGTTATTGTGAGTTTGGATCACAGAGTGGAGATTTTGGAATCAAGTGCGCATATTTCAGAGGTAGAAAATCACCCTCTGATAGCCAACAGACTAGATGCAGAAATTATCAGAGAAAAAAGACCAGGGAGTGATATAATGAGAGGAAATAGGATGGATACAGACATGACACAGTCCAAAAGAATGGAGAAAGAAATTCAACGAGGAAAGAGAATGGAAAAGGAATTGGTGAGAGGTAGCAGAATGGACAAAGAAAGTGTCCGAGGTAGCAGAATGGATACAGAAACAGCCAGATATGATAATGAAGGGATGGCGCCAGAGCCTTTACACTCAGATAGACGAAGTGATAAGGTTTACAGAAAAAATGGGCCACAACCAAGTGGGTTTAGGAATTCCTTAAACAGTGTCAGCCCACCTAGCTCTCCTAACAAAGGTACTTACAAAAGAAAAAGAATTGCTTAGGGGACATGTTTGTTTTGAACAATCCTGGTGGTGCTTGAATAAACTATAGGTTCGGTTACCATGGTGATTAAAATTATGTTTTATTTCAGAGATTACCATGGAAACTTCAAGGTATGAAACGCTGTATATAACTGTTATTGGTTGTATTATCTTATCTTTCCTCTTCAAAAAAGAGGGCAAGCTAATGTTGTCACCCTGGTGTGGGTGTTCGATTTTATACAAAGGTTTTAGTGCAAATATTGAAAAATATTAGTGTATCGCTATAACTGTACCAGGATACTAATATTTTGTAACAGGGTCTCTTTGTGTTGAACAATCCTTTCCTAGAATTGGTTTAAAGTGTTTATTTGGAACAATTTCAGTTTTTTAACAGTTTCTGACAGTTGAAAGACATCGGTACACCACTTTCTAATTGTACTGAGTACTGATATTTGTGGCTATATGTCCTTTCCAGTATCAAACAAAGCAAAATTGTTGGGAGTTGGAGTTGTAGAAACCTGCTTTTAGACATGCTTTTTACTTGCACTTCTTAAGAGAAACTATTTTTGAAAACAATATGGTCAGGTAGCTTGGCAACCAAATTTGATTTATAATGTACACATAGAAATCTTTTTTTAAGAAAATGTCAAACTATATCTTTCATGACTTAAAAGAGAAAATGATGACATAATATTTTCTTCTTCTAAGGTCATAAACGAGAGGAAATTATATTTATTTAAATGAATAATTCTGGAGACAAAGCTTAAGCAGTTAGATTTTCTACATGTATTTAGGAAGTGGCTTGCTTATAACATATCACATTCTATAATTATAAGTAATTAGCTGCTAACCCAATCTGATGTTGTTAACAACCTAGGCCCAAGATTTACAGTAAGTTTTCTATGTTTACAGTATTAAATGACTAGAATTTGACGACATTAATAAATGATAATTGGTCACAATCTATCATATGTCTTCAGTTCTTGAACCATTTCCATCATTAGGTAGGACATATGGAGGTTCATTAACAAAAATTATCAAGACTTGTGCTTTATTTGAATTTCTTAATTTGTTGCTTGTTCAAATAGAACAGACTTTTTCTTGAAGTATGTGCCCGAAAAAAGCTTTTTTTATGTGCTCTGTATGTATTTGTATACACGAGTACTACACTTATTTTTCTATTTTGAGCAGTTTCAAAAAGATACCCTGGCCTGTGCTGAACATGACAATACTTGTACTCTATGAATATTTGAAAACAAGAGTATACAGAAAATATACAATCTTCAGACAGATTGTATAGTTTGTATGTAATTAACAACTGTTTCCAAAAATAGTATGCCTCTTAGATAATTGTTAAAGGAAACAAGTATTGTGTTTATATAATCTGTTAATTCTTGTTGATAAAAGACTAAAAAACAAATTCATGCCTTCAGAACTTCATTATGCTGCAAGATTTTAGATACAGATGTACATGGACATTTGTTCTGTTAATTCTACCAAAATGTTATCTGTAGCCTACGTGTATCTACATGTCTGTATTTTGATTTCCATGAATTACATGTCTCCCCTGACACAATATGGTCTATGGTACATAGTTCTCTGGTGGATAGGTCAGGACGGAGTCAGGACAGGATTCAGTGACCCTGAAAACATCATTTTGGGTCAACTTGACCACAAGACACTGACAAAGAGCTTTAAGTTGACCAGTGCTGTCCATCCATTCACAGCGACCTGAAGAAAAGGTTAAGAAGTTTTAAAGTTTTTACAAAGGAGATAGGTGGAAGGGTTACTTCTCAAATTCCAACAGTTGAATAAGATCCATCAGTCTACCAACACCCTTTATGAAATTTTGAAGAATCCTCCCATGGTCAAAGATGAACTAAAATTGTGAATTAAATAGTCCACATCCCCCAGACGCCCTGGAGGTGCGGCCAAAATGGGTTAAATGCATTAAAATTTCGAAATTCTCCTATCAAAAATGTGAACTTTATAACCCAAGGGTCTCGCGTTTCCTCTTGGAAAGGGAGTAATGTTTATCATTGTGACAGAGCCAATGGCTTGCTGTGTTATTGAGATTTATGATTAATCTTTTTCTTCTGTTTTCTGTTTATTTACAGCACAATAATTATATATATACATTATATTGATCCAGATCTAGTTCTTGCGTTACAAGACTAGTCTCACCAGGCAAGACACTATCATACTGACGTTTGTGTGTTCCCCACTTCTGTTGACACCTTTTAATTCTCAAATAGCACACTCCCTGTCATACATTAAACTTTCACACTTAATAGACATCTGATGGTAAAAAAACCTGAATGCCCAGATAACCTCTCTTGGCATTCTCTTCACACATCTGGTCAGAAATGACACAACAAGGGGCTTGCAGGCAAAAATGGGTCAATTGATTGAAATTTTCAAAATCTTCTTCTCATGGCCCAGATATAATCAAAAACTCTTCATTGATGGAAGTATCCATGTCTGTGTGCCTGTTTTAGAGTCTTTGTCAAATAATTTTTCAACAGATTGAAAGATCTCTGGTGAATTTGATATTGGTCAAAATATGAGAATATTTGTCACAGGACTTTTAAATCCATGAAACAGATGATTTCTTTGATTCTGTCAAATAACTTTTAATTTCAACTGTCAGAAATACCTTTCAGTTGAATGTCCTAGCCTTCACCAATTACTTTTGCTTTGGGCATCATGTTTCTCAAACATATCGTGTTTAAAACTGAATACAAGTATTTTGGTATGATAAAACAAACTGAATTGAAAATTGATTTAAAAGACACAATTTACTGATGCCACCAAAAATTCAGATCAAGGTGAAAATCTGTTAACTAGTAAATCTTGCCTAAAGAGAAGCCAAGTTGGTTCCAGAAGCGAATGTCACAAGGTCAAAGGTCAATAGGACTGGCATTATCAATTTCCACCTTAAGCCCAAGAAGAGTTCAAATTCTTACAAGACAATGATAAAGCATGGGGTTAAAACTGAATAGCAGTAAATATGTGTGGGCTTATTACTGTAAACACGGGCTTATCGCTGGACAAACACCATACACTGCTGATGTTTCTAATGGTGGTGGACTGTCTCATCTTTGATTATCAGTACTCTATGTAATGTTTTCAATTTACCTGCTGGTCTGTTGATACATAGTACACATTACCGGAGTACTGACTTCTAAAGAATTTCATGTAAGTAAAGAGAAAATGGTTAAGATTTCATTGAAATACTTCGATTGCAAGTGAAATAGTAAAATGACTGTCATTTCTGAACTCAAGTTCATGTTACAAAATAGAAATCAGTATTTTTATTTCTGATAATGAGATAAACTCACAGAATACATCACCAGGACCAAAGATGTGTTCCGAGGGCATCTGTGGATCAGTAACCAGCTCAGTTTCGCCAATTAGGATCATGACAAATAGGTGTTCATCTGGAAATAAAATTCTTTCTGTTTTTAAAAGTTACCAGAAGAAATTTCAGTTTTTCCTACTGATGACTTACTACAGTATTACAGGACACATTTATTTCATATCATACTAAAGATGTGTTAAGGATATCTGGCTCGATTAAAATTTACTGATCATAAACTTTCTCCAGGAAAGGATTCTTACAGTTGATTAATCAGTCAAATCTTTGTCTATGTCAGAATTGTTTAACTGTTGTTAGTGGGGAAACACCTAATATTTAAGTTTGTAAAGGTTTTAAAATAGATATATGGGTATTCGGATACAAAAATACAAAGATACAAGGTTAATGAGGGGAGGTAATCCATGATTATATCACTTCCTCGCTTTGATGTATATATAACATGTATCAGTTTAGATGAGTTTACTTGATAATAACTAACCATATTCCTCCTTTGTACATACAGTTGTACCAGGATAAAACTCCTGTGGTTGGCAATGTAGACACAAGTCATACAAACACCTGTCTGTACACTGACCAAACACTTTGTTCTGCTTCAGTGACTGGAAGATCACCTGAAGATTGTAACATTCTTTGTGTCATTCAGTGTAATTTAGGTACACAAGAATTTATATTCTTTAAAAAAAAGCAACATTCTAAGGGAAAAGTACACAAGCAAGAATAAGCAGAATAGAGAAAACTTATGATAAATATCAATCTAGTCTGGTTCTTTTATCTTTCCAGTGATGTGTATAAAGATTTGAAGTAACCATTAATACATGCCATTCCTAGCAGATGGTCAGTTTACCTCAAACTGTAGATTGGTTGGGTACTTTGAGTATATTGTAGCCCCCTTATTCACTTTTGCCTTCCATTTTGTTTGTATGGAACTCCAGGCTGTGCCAGCTTCTTGTGGATGCTTGAGAATTCAGATATACTGATGAGAGGCATACTGTTAATTGTACACAGACCTAACAATATTGGTTCTAGTAATCACATAGTACATATATCCTTTTTGTTGTTTAGAATAGTTTTGATATGTTGACCATATCCATAAAAAAGGAAAAGAAAATGCCTTCCTAGCAGCTCAAACAGACAGGTGTAGAATCTCATCCTAAACCTTCTTTTCGTGCTTTTAGGACATTCAACTTTTTAAAATCCAATTAGAAACACATGGTCTCATCTTACAGGCTGGGTGATTTCTAACAAAAAACAGAATCATAAATATAATTTCCATAGGTCTCTGTGATAATTTCTGTTTCAAAATTTTAGGTAATATAAAATGAATTGTAATGGATCCACCTCGCCTTTTTGAGCGTATATTGCCTGTTTGAGGTTTGCAAGAAGGCAAAACAAGGAGTAACAAATTCAACCTGTTCTTCGTTTAAGGTAAAATATAACAAAGACACAGTCTATCTTGAGAAGATACCGGAGTTAGATCCTACCTGAGCTATAATGTTCTGTATCCACTCTGTCCGGATCGGGACTACCTTACAACAGGTAGTAGTGATGACTGTTACTTGGTTGTCCAGTCCACAAAAAACACCTAGTGAAAGGTATACAATAGATCATTTATAACGTAGGACTTTTAATCACTCCAGGTGACATAAAGGTAACAAATACCCAGATCATGGTCACACAAATGTTTGTTTTTCATTTCATATTAAAAATTGAAATGAGTACAAAGACAAAAGAGGATGTTTTATCAGTAAAAATTCAGATGATGCAACCTCTTGTTACAACAAAATGATGGGGATGGCAGTCTTTGAAATTATTTAATAGGGGCAAAAAAGGATATGTGATTGCTTGGTGTGTTGACCTCATTGAGACATGGATAGTGTTCAGCTTGGATCCTAAAAAACTGACGTGTCTTATATGCAAAATAATATATCATATCTGTTTGGGTCTAGAAACATCTTCCAGACCAAAGGAAAACAGGAGACTGAACTACAAATCAGAAAATGGATAGACTTACAAATTCATAACATCTAAACCTCAATCAAAAACTCTTTTGTGTATGATGTCAACATAATTTTTATCACATGAAACATAAGAAACCAGAGACAAGAGATAAAAATCAAACCAAAATTAGAGATATCAAATACATTTTACACTTTATTTATATAAACCAGACCAAAGGCATAAAACAATGTTTCGTTTGTTCTCATCTGTTATTCAAAGAATTTAAAACAAAACATACATAAATACCTTCCTCTCCAATGGTGAAAGGGGACACGTTAGCATCTACTTTCACTAGCGTTGCACAATCTTGATCACTTAAAACCACCCTACAGGCAAGGTCAAAAGGTCAACCACCATAACATGAAATTGAAACGTTTGCAGAAATATCACAAGGTCAACACATTGCTACTGTTATTTGACAGAAATTAAAGTTACCATCATTGAAGAAAAATCATGAATGATTGGAATTTTCTGTCCTTCCCTGCACATCCCCAGTTGTGCTGTTTAAATGCACCTCATGATGAGGACATAAAATATATCCCCTAATTTACGACGAGGTACCTCATTGATGACATTTAAGCTTTTATAACGTCAGTACCTCTCACCAACAGTGATATAAATTATCTCCCCTGAAGATCATGTTATATGACACGTGTAATGCAGTTTTCCGTACGTAATGGTAATGCCTTACCTCCCTTTGATTATGACATTGATGGAGACTGGTGGGTCCCCGTGCATGGCAACCACGGAGCCTGGTGAGTAAAGGACTACAAGGGCCGGTTTTATCTCCAGAACGAGGCTCTTCAGTGCCAAATCAGACCAGTCTGCAAAAACTGGAACCTATGAAAATTATTGCTTTTTCTTTGTATACACATATGTAATTTTTCTTCTAAATGGATATATGAAATACATGTATTTGTTTTTTCAGTTAAAATGGCTTCAAAAAGTAACTAGATACATAGATTATGACGACATGTCTACATTGCAAAATAACCTTATTGTATATTGTAAAATCATGACGTCATATTTTATGATGACATTATATTTATATGGGGCCCAGAAGATTTACTGAATAAAATTAAGTGAATGAGAAAAATGAAATTTCATTGAACTGTAATTTGTAATAGGGAATGCATGTCAGTATTTGGTTTCGAAACTATCCCTTCAGCAGAACATGGAAAGGCAAATTTCCAGCTCTTCATTTTTCAAGCATTGGTCATCTCATACAACAAACAGCAGGTTACTTTCTCTGTCCGTGGTATACAGAATATGGACCATCTCTCCGTTATTGTTATTTACCCTGATTTTAAAATATTGGTAACAACCTTGCTCAGATATGTGAATACCATCCTCCGTATAGCTCTTTCATGGTCCATTGTTGCACCGACTGGAATATATCGCTTTGTCACAAACCAGTCTATCATTTCCATCTTGACCTTGACTTTGCCAAGTAGTTTCTGATTGACCTTGCTTTTTAACAGAAGAAGATGACACTTCCCCTTTGTTCGGACTGTGGCTGTGCACGGCACATCATAAAGTACAGACACTTCCCCAAAGTAGTCTCCCTTGAATAATTCTGCAATTATCTCCCCTTCTGAGGTAATGACCTCAACATGTCCCTCAAAAATAATGAATAATCCGTTTGTCTTCCGACCTGTGCTATGGAAATAAAACAAATTAGTTTCTCAAAACTCATTCAACACTGGTAAAAAAAACCCAGCTACTCAATTGTGTGGAAATAACCCATATTGTTGACAAACATACCAAGATTTGTATTGATACTTTTGAAAATCATATACAATTTTGAAAACCATCAAAAACAGTTTGAATGATTAGTCAGAGAAATTACAGAGGAATAGATTATTGTATATAAACTAATTATTCTTTCATTAAACTGATAGTTATGAATTCGTTTTTATCTGAGTTTTGTCCAAAGAAATTCCTTTGCTGAAATTTATGTAAATCTTTAAAAAGGATAATGATAAAATCACAATGAGTCAGTTTATAGTATTACAATTGACCTTGGCAAACGACATCTTGATGAGCTTCGTATTCTCTGACCACTACTTGACTGGCTAGTCTTTCTAACAATTGATCCGTCAGTACTGGTTTGGCTAGTGGAAAGGAAGACAGACAGTGTTGAATCTTCTGGAAAACCCAAACATTTGTAATGAGACAGATTTACTGGTGTGGATTTTGTTAACAATGAATGTGTTAATACTGTTTACAGTACAAGTCAAAAACCTTTGCTTGAATTCCCTTTAGTCTAGTAATAAATTGAATATTGTATCAAACTAAACAAAATCTAATATGTACTATTCATGGATGGAAGACAATCAATTTTGCATTTATCACGTAGGCTATTTTCACTTTGGTTTGGTGGTTGTGTTAACCGTGAACAGTCAGGGACACTTTGAGGCGTAATCTCAATGTAATAGTCTTGCTGGTGGCCAGATCACTGGACGTTCAATTTGATTAAAACATATCTTGATCTTGGCACCCGTTGAGTAAACTTATCTACGTCAGTGGAGTAAAATTTACGAACCGGAAGCCAAAGTCAAGAAATGTTTTAATCAAATTGTCTGCCGTCTAAGTGCATTAGAAACATAAACCGCCTCAGGTAGGGATCAAGCCACACCTGCATCTTTATTTGCGGTTGTGAAGTCCGATGCTCTTAACAGTACTGACTGTGCTACCATGGACCCATCAGTGCCGGTTGGCATTTTAATGACTGCATGCAGAGACATATATCACATGTGATATATACGTCTCTGCTGCATGCAACCTAACGTTACCTCAACCAGTAACGGCGTGTGTTCTTGTGAATAAGTTTTGAAGGGTGTAACAGTAGTCGATTTTTCATCTCTCCCAGAAATATTTCTGTCTTGTCTGTTCTCTTCATCGTCTTCGTCGCTTTCACTCTCAGCTATTCGAAGTCTACTTTCTTTGTTCCCCATTGTCATAAAGCGTTTCATTGATCGAGTTTTTAATATATCAATGTTGAATAAACGCTTAAGTTTTATGAGCGGAAAGTTATAAAATTATTCTTTTTGCCAAGAAAACGTTCCGTATGCTTCATAAGGGGCAAAGTTAGCCCAGTAGAAATGTGTAAGCCAGGGCGAGGGGTCTGGGGGCCGCCTAGGGCGAAGGCCCCCAACGGAAAAGGAATTTCATTATTTCAAAGATGTTTTGAATCATTTTCTGAGACTGTTTTTTTTATTCGTTTAACAACAAACTTCAACTCCTGACTAAATGAAAGCTAATTTTCTGTTCTTTTGATTCGCGAAAATGTCCTTGACAGTTTCCGTGTCTTGGTTATATGTACCTTCGGTCTTTGATGTGTCACTTTTAGTGTGGTCACTCGATTCGACTTTATTTTGTTTTAAAAACTTGTCGATCGACGTCTGTAATCTAGAAGCCTTCTTCATTTTGAAAATTTGCACTTTAACAAACATTATAATCGGAAACGTTGAAATGATAGTAAGACGTAGAATAGTATGACGTGTATAAAATTCCGGAAAGCAATGCACTAGGCCTAGTTATTCAACAATTTTCTATTTATATTTTTTTATTTATCAAAAATATTAGATATTTATTTTCAACCGAAGTTTTATAATTTTTTCCGACATACTCTATGCACGGATTTTTTTATGTGTAAGCCCGGACTTTTTCTTTCTATGGAAGCTACGTCCCTGTTCGTAACAACAAATCAAGAGAGGTTTTTATTTTTTAAACAATATTTATTTTTTACTGTTGCGAAATGAAAAACAAAACACACACAGTGTAGTACGAATTTTACAAAATGAGGCACGGTCTACAATTAAGCGCCGCTTATTGCTTGAAACTCACATGAAGTAGATTTAGTTGGTGTTGTTATTGGTTTAACTATAAATATCTATATATAACCACTATCTTGAAATACACATTTCTATCTGGATCGTTATCTACACTGGGTACGGATGTGGTCCCATGTGTACCTGTTTATCGTGTGTTTGCGTGTACTTATAGTGATAAAAGACTTCGAGCGTTACATACACATCATCAACTATACATGTACGTAAAGCTTTTACCATGAAGTCGTTTATCATCCAATGGCTGTCAATTTTCTTTGCTTTGTCGACATCACTGAAAGTACACCTACCAGAATGGCCTATAACGTACAAGGTACCGGTGATTTGCTATTTACCTTTGGCAGACTTTGTTTGTCCAGTAAATTTTGTCAAGACAGTATCATCTTCATCGAATCTCTAGCCAACCTTAAGTATTAAACTGTTTCATTGTTCGCTGGTCGTCGTGCGTTGTCCGTCGTCCGACAACAATTTATTTGAAATGTCATGTCATGAACCTCTGTGCGAATTTTTACCAAATTTGGTCAGCAGCATTCTTGGGAAAGAGACTTAATTTTGTATGAATCAAAGGTCTGACCCCATGGGGCTTGAAATGTGGGGTCCAATCGGGAAAATAAGGTAAACATTTTAAAATTATGTTCTTTTATAGGATTGGCAGAAAGAACTCTGTCCCAGTTTGGTTTGAAGTCCTGGGGTGAAGGGGCTCCGTTTTGTGTCTCAGCCGCCTGCGACAGGAGGGGCGACGTAATAATGCAAACAGACCAAATTGTTTTAAAAGCATTCTTCTTTTCTTGGAATATCAGGATTTTGTCCTAATTTCTTTGCCGCATCCTAGTTATAGGGTGAAGCGGAATTCAATTATTAATATAATATATGGGAAATATAGCAAGTTCTTTAAAGTCTTTCTCCTGTAGTAATGTCAGGATTATGTCCATATTTGATCTGATGCATCCTTGGGTGAAGCGATATCAGTTTTGCATAAATGGTTTGGTTTCACTGAAGCCCTGGGAGCAGAGGGGTGCGGACCAATGGGGAGAGACACGCAAATCTTTTCATGGTTCCATTTCCTTTGATAAGGCTTTTTCAGCCAAACAAACCTAGGTAAGTGATCCATGCCCTATTGGGCTCTTTTGTAAAGCTATGGAGGGTGGGGGGTGAACGTCAACATTGCGGATAGAAAGAAAAATTGACAATGTAAAGGAAAAAAACAAACAAAAATTAAGTAAATATGGATGAACTAATGATAGCCAAAGGACAATACAGCCGGATTTTTTACATATGTACAGGCGTGTGTTTACGTGCAGACCGAACAGGAGTACATTCCTATGGGTTGGTATGTGGACGGACGAACACAGAGAATGAGGCTTGATAGCTACGGTATACCGGAAGGTGAGGTGCCATTTTATACATGTACATGCAGTAATTGTGATCGGGTACTCTTGTTAAGTTATTTTTGTAATTGAAGTGTTTGGTACTGTCTTGCATATGTCAATGACAAGTATGTTTTGTGTCTTATACCGTTCAGGGATGAAGTAATAGCTTAAGAAAACAAAAAAAAAACAAAAAACAAAAAAAAACAACTCTTTTCTTTCTTACAAGACAGTTCCGGTAACTACACATATGCTGAGGACGACTTCGAATACGCATGCTCACATCTTGGGAGACCTTTATACACTTATCTTTATCACTATGACAACGGTAAAGAATATGACATATTTCCGGCCCCTAAAAAACCTTATCAGCAATGTACCACTTAGTAAGTATATTGCTCCTGTACACTATGTATTATGTACGTGAAGAATTGTTACCGACAGGAGTATACTTTGAAATAGGTTTATTGGTGACGTACATGCCATATAGATGATAACATAATTCTGCCATCCGGTCACAAGTAGCCTGTCGATGAGATCGTTGACGAATTCTCATCACACTTGACACACGTTTAAAGCATTAAAATTCCTTGAACACATTGGAGTTTCAGAGTTTTTGGGTCAAGGTCGCTGTTACTATAGGTAGAAATTCTTTGTCGGCGCTCCAACGACTTCAAACCGTATTGGATTCATCCTCGATACTCCAGGGTTGCGATCACTTTCGCTCTCTGTACCCCTGGAACCATCCTCGATACTCCAGGGTTACGATCACTATCACTCTCTGTACCCCCGGAACCATCCTCGATACTCCAGGGGTTACGATCACTTTCACACTCTGCACTCCTGGAACCACCCTCGATACTCCATGGTTATGATCACTTTCACTCTCTGTACCCCCGGAACCATCCTCGATACTCCAGGGGTTACGATCACTTTCGCTCTCTGCACTCCTGGAACCATCCTCGATACTCCAGGGTTACGATCACTTTCGCTCTCTGTACCCCTGGAACCATCCTCGATACTCCAGGGTTACGATCACTATCACTCTCTGTACCCCCGGAACCATCCTCGATACTCCAGGGGTTACGATCACTATCACTCTCTGTACCCCTGGAACCATCCTCAATACTCCAGAGGTTACGATCACTGTCGCCCTCTACACCCCTGGAACCATCCTCAATACTCCATGGTTACCACCACTTTCGCTCTCTACACTCCTGGAACCATCCTCAATACTCCAGGGTTACAATCACTGTCGCTCTCTGCACTCCGTGAACATGTCACGGCAGATGACCATAGCATGTCATTACACATGGGTAATAGCTTGTGGGAGCCGGTAGGGGATATGTATTACTTTAGCAATCCCCACATACAAATGTACTTGTTTTAGGTCCTAATACTGTCACACGATATTTTGATATCATCATTATATCTAGTTGTGTTATTTTGTAAACTTTACACATATTTAAAAAAAAAACATAATTAGTGTTCGGGTCATGCGACCTTAGATAACGGAATGGCGAAGTTACGAAACTGAATCTCGCCAGTGAGAGATCTGATTTCTGTTAGATTGGCGTGCAAAATGCTACTGTCTTCTACTTACTACAATGTATACTAAAAGGATAGAGAAACGCAGGGTGAACTTTAAACCAGAAATTAAGCATGATATCGGGATTCATTTAAAACGAAATTTTGTATACTTACAGATAAATTAAAGTTTAAACATTTCCAAAGTCTGTATTTTGCATCTGACAATTGGTTTAGAGGTACTAACGATTAAATTGAATGGACCCAAAGGATTTTGAAATTGAAATTGAACTGAGTCATCAATATCTTGTGTGTCCGCCGTTTGCTGTGGTCACGGCCCTTGTTCTTCTGGTCATAGAGTTCATGAGAGCGTTAATCCGTCTTATGGGGATGTTGTCCCACTCTTCAATCAGAGCTCTGGTCAACTGCTCTCGAGTAGCAGGGGGTGGCTGGCGCTTTCGAACCTGTCTATCCAACTGGTCCCAAATATGCTCGATCGGGGACAAATCAGGGCTATATGGCGGCCAATCTAGTGGTTGAATGTTGTTGTTGGCCAGAAAGACTTGGCAAATCCTTGCTACGTGGGGCCTAGCATTATCCTGCTGGAGGGTTAGATTATGCTGCTGTAAGAAAGGAATAACATGGGGTCGGAGGATCTCATCTTTATACTTAGCTGCTGTTAATTGCCATCAATAACAACCAATTGTGATTTTAACCCATGTGAGATTCCTCCCCACACCATTACTGAACCGCCCCCAAACCTATCCCTCTCTACAACGCAAGCGTCCGTAAAACGTTCGCCATGACGTCGGTAGACACGTTGACGGCCGTCAGATCGATAAAGACAGAATCGAGACTCGTCCATGAAGAAAATTTGTCTCCACTGCCTCAGTGGAAACCGTCGTGGAGCATGTGCAGCGACCCAGGCCATACGACGCTGACGTCGAGTAGGGGTAAGGTGTGGACCTACGTAGGGGCGACGTGCTCTTACACCAACTTCTCGTAATCGATTCCTTACAGTTTTTGAACTTATAGGACGCCCATGATTTCCACGAACATTAAGTGCACTCTCAACGGCAGTAAGGCGCCCATTACGCTCATGAGAGACGACGATATAGCGATCCTGACGTCGTGACGTTACGCGCGGACGTCTTGACCTAGGTCGATCGGCCAATCGCCCAGTTTCCCGAAGACGTCTTACAAGACGTTCTATGGTGGAAACATTAACACCAAAGTGCCTAGCCACCTGATTTTGCAGCTGTCCTTGCATCAGCATCTGAATGGCCTGACCCCTCTGAACTTCTGTAAGTCGTGCCATTCTTAAAACGAATCAAATTCTCAATCAATTTTAGGGAAGCAGTTGGTCTGTATAAAGACTAACGAAGAGTGACTTGACTAACGCTGCATGAGACCAGAACAACACGGTGCACGAGATTCTTGTTTTTCCTTCCTCCATTTACCAGAGCTGCGCACTGTACCGTGACTAAATTTTCGATACATGACAAGGTGTAATATGACCTAATTACTCAATCCATAATGTTTCACTTTATTTGGAGAACGCGTTTTCAAAATATCGGAATAAATATTACCCTGCGTTTCTTTATCCTTTCAGTATATATACTTTAATTATTCAGCTTACTGTGTAGAACAGTTGCAAACGATCTCTTGACAGATGAAAAACTAAACACTTTTCCCGATACGTCGTTTTCTTCAATAGCTCATGTCTCCTTTAAAAAAAAGTTGTAATTTGTGTTGACGTCATTAAAACATTCTGAACACTTTGTACTTTTAAGTTGTGGATTAGGCGCATATCATATGACAAATCAACAACTAATGTAGACACGTTATATAAATGTGCATGGTGGGAAATTAAGCATGAAATAGCAATCACAGAAAAGTATGTACTAATATAAATGAGATTTATTACTTTTTTCAGTAATATATCCGCGCAGTACCCGTTTAGCCCATTACTGCCCGGGCTAGAATTCATTGAACAAGCTACGGACAACTTTACCACGTATAACCACTGGAGGACCGACTACTTCCTCTTCACCAACGACTATTTCTTCCATGTCGCTAACGGGCTACCATACAAGCAAGTACAATTTAATTCGTGTATAAATTATACTAATCGCCAATGGGCTACCATAAAAGCCCGTGTATAAATCGTACTATATCCCCTACACTGCTACACTTGCATAATGCTATTAAGTTATCACAGAAACTACGAATAAGCAATAGCGCCAGAGGAATATCGAGAGCTTGATTTTATATTGGTTTTGTTATCCTTTAACGCAAGAGTTTCATTACACATAGCCTATAATAATATCAACAACGAGTTTCCTTGAATCTCTGTAAACAAACACCAAACGTTGTGCATGTTGACGGGCAGGCGCGTACATCTGGTGTAGTGGAAGAGCCCATCCTGGAATTACTCGACAACGTTTCGTGTCGCTTGGTGGTTTTGGATTGTTGACAAAATGGAACACACACGACACCGTACATATTCGTTCCGTTCCATCTGTATATTTGCAATATACATAATAGAAGCCGTTGTAAACCATTACATGGCCGGGTATATAATGTGAGAGCCAACTTCTCATTTACATTTTTTTTTTAAATGTAATAGTTGTCGAAACATAAGGTACATATCCGTTTCTCCTATTTCCACCGATTTACCTCAACCATCTTTCCAAGATCACTTCATCCTGACTCTAATTGAAATTTTTGCGTTTCTGTAGGGTTTACGTTGACGGTATGGAGAAGACGTTTGTCTACATAGAGAACGTGACGTTAGACGAGAAGGTTTTTCTTGTACCAGACGACGTCGTCTGTAAAACCGGATGACCACCTATGGCGGCGAACCCAATGACAAATCAATGTCGTTACAGAGCCATAAACTTCAGTTCAGAGAGAATATGTCAAAATGATACGTTTTAAAAATGTTTTTTCGTACAATAAATTCGATTATATCTCCACTCATAACAGAAACTCAACCAACTATTTCAAAGTTCATGATAGAATGCAGACAAAGACATAATATGGAAATAACGAAGGTATGTAAGCTTGAGTGACCACGTTAGGTCTGCTCGATTTGTACTCATCGCCGTGATGTTGTAGAAGGATTTAGACACGAACCCTATATGTTCATTACTGAACATTACATCAACATTTTGTAGTTATCGAAATGAATGTTGTAAGCACGCGCAGGTGAAGATACACGAGAAAGTTAGTGTGTACATGATAATGAGTGTTGCCCTTAACTGTTAACATGATAATGTTGTGATATAAATGAGTCTGCCATCTTGAATTCCTTTTTAACTATAAATGTGTGTTATTGTGGGGAAAGTGCTTTGTATAAGACATTTCACTTGTTCTAGATTTCTTTGCTGTGTTTATGATAATAAAGTATGTTCATATATACAGACCTATATTTGAGTTTTCGTGCTCGTGTAAAGAGAGTCATATCTTTAGGTCAAGAATAAGGCAAGCGCTCTATTTTCTTCGATGTCCTGTCATTCTAACTATGCTAACTATATCAAAGAAATTCCCCGCCATGTTATTTTTTCTGGTATTCTGGTTTTGATGAAAGGTAGTTCAATTGTAAAATCGCGTTAATCTAGACATATCTATGCTTTGTTTGATTGTTTGTAAGCTGGGTTCATCGACCCGTGAACAGTGAGGGTAATTTTGAAGCGGGGTCTCAAGCTTGTGACTGCCTTACTGAAAACACAGGGGAGGCCCGTCGCATGTCGTCCAGAGCAATTGGGGTAAAGTGTCATTCCCAAGGACACAACCTTGTCAGCACAGACCGGTCCGTTTCTTAGCTTTCTTGATGATATGAAGGGGCCTGTCAATCCACGGGGTTGAAAGAATAGTTGACTGAAAGCAGTTGGTAGGTGTACCAAAGAATGCGACAGACAAGGATTTTGCTGTAATTCAAATATCACTTATTCAAACTATTCATAAAATTATACACGTAAAATCAAATTGATAACATGTAACAGATTTGTGACCAGTTTATTGCTGTCAAACTGAATGTCATGCTACTTTTAATTCGTAAACTGATCCAATAATTTTCACATTTTGGTATAATTAGGTATATCCTAACATTGTCGTTTTAATAGACAATATTGAAACTTTTAATAATTGTATTGTTAACTTCAAAATGAAAACTTTCAAAAGTTCCACGAATCAAAACTAAAAAGAAAGTATTAAAACATCGTATGAAAAGTTGTGACGTGTGTGTATCATCAACTCGATCGTAAATAAATTGTGTATTTCTGTACTGTTACACATTGAGGATTTCATTAGGTTTAAACATTGAAGAGAAAGATTGAATAAGAAAACGAGTCTTTGTACAGGTAACATGTATTCAAATTTGTTTAAAAATCAATGTCGCACAGTAAAGGTCATACGTTTGATTTTCATTTGAGTGAGTTATGTGTAATGTATACAGTTAACCCAGGAGAATGTATTTGTAAAATATCAAACAAACGTAACAGAATAGATCAACATGTAGATTGTAACTATCAAAACGTTCACGCCGATAATGATATCAGCCTATAGGCCACACCAATGACATTATTTGTTATGTGTATTAACTAAAACCCGTTCTAGATTTATCATATCGTCTGGATTTTTAAAATTGACGCTACTTGTGAATCTCAGTGATGTGAATTTCGTAAAATTCTCTAAGTATTATGTAAGAAGGCTTCTCAATTATACACATTGAAATTTCCATAGAATGCCTCTTCTTTATATACGTACCGGAAATTTTTATATATCACCCATCGTTTATACTCGTTTATATATATACCGAAAACCTCGACAAATCGGTCCAGTGTTGTTTTCTCGAGAGATACCTCGTTACATGTATATAATGTCATTTATTTCGATAAAATAGCCAATGATGACACTCGTTTACACACAATAAACGTTTATACGATGCGCTTATTAAAATGATAAAATATCGAATGTAATTTCCTTTATTAGAGTTTACGATAAAATCTCCATATAACGTCTCGTGTGTACACAATTAACACCCAGATAGAAAGTTCAAGTAATTCACTTGTTTTGGCCTGAATACAAAAAGCTCACGGCATGGCCATTTCGCTCTATGATTCATAATGATATGAATTACCGTTATGAAGGCCATTTATATACGCGAGACCGAAAGTGATAAAACGGATTAGAATTTCATTATAGGATAACCATTCCATTTTAAAAAGACTCAACAATATTGATATATAAGTTTGTAAAATCATGTTCATCCCTCCAGCAAATATCAATTTGGTCCGCGTTTTACTTGAAAAGCCTCAAACACATTAGCCATTGTGAACCGAAGAAAAATATACACCAACAAAATCCGTAATTTATTCACGGGTCTACAAATAAAAATGGGTTGAAGTTAGCGAGGTGTCAATAGTTTGGGTCAATTGGGAGAGTAATGGCGCTGTAGTGTGACTTTATAATCAAGACATATGACCAATGCATGTATTAGCTGGTAAACTTTACTAAAGGAACCCTGTGGTCTGTTTACCATGTAAATAAAATCAAATTTCAATCTTTTCAATTTAGAAATTAAACTTCTGACAATTTTGAAATAAATTTCAAAGGTTAGATATCAAAAATACAATACCGATTTTATATGTGTACAAAATATAATTTTTTTTTTCATTTTTTTTTTTTTCGAAAATTGTTAAGTTGAAAATAGTTTGGGACTGGAGTATGTTGTTCAAGTTCGATGGAGATTTCGGGTGTTGGGGAGGTTGGCATGTATGCTCTGTATATTATATGGGCATTTATAGTGTAGCTAGGGGTATATTATACGATCACAACACACGACAACTTGTACAGTCACCTGTAAATATCAGTCATTCAAAGGACTTAATGAGTATATTTATCAAACACTTGTGGAGTTTACGGTATGCATACAGAGACGTGTATTGGTGGTGGCTGTAAAGGTACACTTGTACATGTATACATTATTGACAGAAATGTGTGGAGTTTGACTGCCGATATCGACAACTTGTCAACATGCAATATACAATGGCTGCTTTCCTTTAAACTGTACAAGTCTCCTGGACAAGAAAGCGTCTGAATGGAACGTGAGTCAAAAGTAGAGCATGGAAGATATTGAATTGTTTAATAGGTTTGTAATTCGGTGTACAATATTAGGATAGATTCTTGTATTTAAAAGTTGGTGCAAATACAGAAATAAAAAAAATAGATGAGCGAACTGTTCCAGCCAATTAAAGGTAACTCCGCAGTCTGCGTTTAGCTACATTTTTGCTTTAAGTGTCAGAACAAAATCTGAAGCCGTTGATAAGTACGATGTTTGTGGTTGTGATATTTCCTCTCAACATACGCACTGCAACCATATTCAGTTGAAGTACGACTTTCGACACATAAAAAAGTTTTGCTTTGTTAGGCTACAGGTAACGTTTTATTTTAGCTATATGGATTTTTCAATTGACACTTGGAACATTTTGTCTTAACGAAGGAGAGTTTAGTTTTAACCATGAAGACCTTTCGTTTAAACCTCATCTCGTTTTACACAATTTTAGCAAATCCAATTGCGAGACAATATATATATATACTACCGGTAGTTGTGCGTGATGGATTATAAATCATTTGTTTAACTACTCGTGCATGTGTTCAAATTAATTATGAACGTCTTCACAGAAGAGAGGATCGCATGAATACAGTGTCTTTTAAAACAAAAGTACACTGTATCCAATTACAGATCAAGATATTTTGTGGAAAATCTTGACTTGAACATCGTTTGTGAAAACAAGCGTTTTTTCCTTTACTTAATGTTGTACCAGCGGATCAACCTTGAACGATGACGGCCTTCCAGGGCATGCAAAGTCGGCAGGACATGAACACTAAACGACCGAAAAGGAAAAATAAAAAGCGAGAACTGCAGCTTCCGTCCGTATTTATAAATAACAGTTGGAGTTCCGACGAATACTCAGAGGAACCGGAAATTTTCGGACAAAATACCATACTTTCGGTTCAATCACCTATTCGTTGTTCGAAAATTTCCCCGAGACAACTTAATGAAAGGATGCACTTTTGGAGAAATGTAAAATCTGGAAAGCACAGATTCCAGAAAGGAGTTCGCAAATACGGAAACATTTCTGAAAATGGTATATATAGTGATAGTGTGGATAAATTATACAAACTTGTTACACGGGAAAACTCCGTTATGCTGCCGCCATTACAAACATCCGGCAGAATAAAATCGAACATTTCTAATTACATTGATATGGCGGAAAAGAAATACGTCATGAAAGATTTTAAGACGGAAGGGAGAATATCAAAATTTGCACGTGATGAAGTGTATTTTCCAAGCGTCAACAAAGACCTTTTCACATGTTACGAATGCAGACGACGCTACGTTAGCGATATGTTCACCGAAGCGTTCGCCGCGAGGAACTCTAAAAAGCCCCAATGTGTTGCCATTAATGCGCCGAATTCTAAGAAACACAAAAAGGCCTTCGTCAAAAGTCGTGGAACACGTGCACAATTCTGTGACGTTTTGGGGAAACGTTTCTGCTCAGAATGTGGGGAATCTGAGAACAGAAGAATGGGTCAGACCATTTTGGATACATATAGACCAGAGCGAAAAAACGACGAATCGCTCAGACACATGACCCCCAGGAAGTCTCTTAACCGGAAGTACGTCATCATTGATCCAATACCTACAGTTGTAACCTACGACGAAAGCTGAATCGTGGACACAGTCATTAAATGTAAGAACGAGGAAAAGGATAAATATGTGATTTATGTAAATATGTGCTTTCAAATTTATTTAAAAGTTTTTTGTGCTAGGATTATAAACAATTTCTTTCTGTAGGATTTCGTTTCTGTGCCCCGATTGCCATTTCGAGAACATGCCATTAACTGGATGGACCTGGACTTACATTTGAGTGTTGGTTGATCATACTTCAATCGGTTATGTTTATCAATTTTAAGATAGACCCACAGTTGTCTTACACATCAACCTATTCCTGTTATGGTAATAAATTATCTATTCAAATTTCAGTTTTTCCAGTTGATCTGTAGGCAAAATATTTGAAGCCAAATTATGTTTAACGTATTCCATAATTTTATCTTGAATGCATTCTAGGGTAGAGTGACAATTTTAATGTTTAAATTTAAGATTATTTTCACATTTTGAATGGTAGGCATCTAATTTTTAAATCAACCTTTCAGAAAGTGAATTGTTTTCTTAACTGGGGTCAAGAATCCCATATATACCCACATTTAAAGTGTTATATACCTATTGTGTAATACTGGGGCAAATTATCACTATAGTAAAGCAAACAAAGTGTTTTACCAAATTTATTGCATTAAAAAATATTGAACCATCAATAGAGTACAGATTTTAAAAGTCATTGACTTTACATAGGACTTTTAAAACGTAGTACATATTTCTTTATTGCAATAGTTTATATAATTATATTAAGAAACAACAGTTTATCGTAAATTTCTAGTGGTATGTTAAAATACGAAAAAAACTCCTTCATTGATTTTGGCAAATAACGCTCCTTCCGTGTTATTTATGTTAAATATGAAGGAAACACCTATTTCTGTAATCAGTAATTTGAAAGCACATGTAAATTCATAACTTTATCAATTCAATACCGTTTTACACAAGAGGTAGATATCATACATCAAAGTCGGTGGAGTAAACATTTATCCTGATTTTATTGATGACAATTTGGATGAAAACAAAATCTTTCCTTTAGGTTGATTTTTAGGACCTTTTTCCTGTTACAAAGAATATACATATTCTAATTATTATGAATGATGAACAATAAAATTCTTTTACAATTAGTTCAAGGATGACTATAAATTGGAAAGACAGCTATTTGGTTTTTTTGCACTTTATATGTCAAACTTTAAAGTACCTAAAAATTGCCTCAGGAGAAATCAACCACTTCATTCATTTGACTGGTATATATTTCAGAACTAACAAAAGTCTAGGATCTTCTTTTTTTCATATCAAATAATTCCTTCACCCAAGTTTACTATTTTAAATGTGTTTGTTTCTCCCACCATTTCATCTGCCTTTAAAAAGGAAGGCCTGACACCTTTATTTTTTACACAAGATCTAATTTCTATGGTTAAATTCACTTCACCTTTACTAGAGGATAAGTCTTTACCAGTGTTTTAACTGTTTGCTCCACTGCCTCTGCACTATCCTCCCTTTACATACCTCATATCTAGTGCAATCCAAGAACATTGGTGTATTTCATAGAACTGTGATACATTGGTATAATCATTCTCAGAAAAAATTGTTGGACAACAATAAAAGTGAAGTAGAATCAGTCATTTTGAACTAACAAACAAGTCCCTTAAATGGACATATGGTATGTCTCCTAAATACAAACAGCAGCAATGATTTGAAACAGAGCAGTGAACCCAAAAGTATAAAACATGAACTCTTTTATTTTACCAGAGATTCACAAAAAGTACACTTTACACAATATATATATATAACATGTTAACTGTCACTTAAACCCGACTAAAGATTTCACCTCTGCTATATTTGGTCCAGCTATTTCCATAGCTTTATCACGTCCCTTTTCAATAATATTGCTGATATGATGTCGGTCACTCAGCAACCGTTCCATTTCAAGTTTTATAGGAGTCAACTCCGCAATTAGAAGATCTGCTAACGTTACTTTGTACTGTCCCAACATAACACCGATGTTCTCCTCACACACTTGGGATGGTGATTTCTGAGTTATGGCACATTCCAGACCGATTAGATTGGCAAGACCTGGTCTGCCCTCCTCATCGTAAGTTATTTCCGACTGACTATCTACAACAGCTTTTTTCACTTTTTGTAAAATTTCATCCGGAGAGTCTGTGAGATCTATTCTGCTCTTAATATTCGCCTCTGACTTGCTCATTTTCTTATCTGGATGGCGTAAGCTCTTGATCCTTGGAGCTTCCGCTAAATTTAAAAAACAAAACAAAATTGAAAACAAAATACTACCTCCAGTTCCAAGTTGTTAATGTTCATTCATAAGAAACATGGGTAAAATTAGATAGCTTTCATTGTATCACTAGATAAATCGTTCTTCATTACGAAGCATCACCAAACATTATCAATGTACCATTACAGAAATGTACAAAATGGTTTCACTAATTGATACTCCTCACCAATCTATCACAAAATGTTAGCTGTACGCCCAATAATCCAATGAACAAATAGTGTATGTTAAACAATCAAATTTTCTGACCACTTTGGAGCAGATTTGTGTGAGTGATAGGAATAAATCACGATTCATACTTACTCAATAATACCTCGGGTTGGGGAAAGTAATGTCCAAATCGATTGTTGAAGAGTTTTGCAAGGGCACGACTTAGTTCTATATGGCAAGTCTGGTCTTCTCCAACTGGAACCTTGGTTCCTCTGTAAAAGTCAATATTGTGATGAGATGAAACACATCGGTTTTTGATGGGGTGGCTATTTCACCGAGACCTATTTTTCAAAACAAAACTTTCATCTTTGTCAGTACTTGATAAACTTCATTTATACATCAAGCTAAAAAACAGAAATTCACTAACCCAACCAAAATGTATTTGATATTGAAGATTTAACAACCAATCTAGACTTACTTGTACAGAAGTATATCTGCGGCCTGTAGTACTGGATAGGTGTATAACCCTAACATTGCATCCTTCATACCAGCAGACTTCTCCTGTATTAAACGTACATGATCAAATATTATTCAACAACAGCCAACCTCCACCGTAATCAGAACCATCGATGATATATCCTGATTTCTACCTTTTTCTTATCCATGTTTCTGCATAATTACATATCAACACGCCTTTAAAAACTGATTAGTAAGTCTGCAACAAGTACTGTATTAGTGTCCTGTTATAAGCCTGCCCAGATTTGTCATAGACTCACTGTACATTCATTAGAAATTACAACAAGTGCTATATTAGTGTCCTGTAATAAGCCCATCTATTTCTATTCTAGATTTAGCAGAAATGAACACAAGTGCTGTGCTGTTGAGTAATAAGCCCATCTCCTTCTTTGAGTTTTTGTGTTGGTTCCAAGCGCCTATTGTAGGATAAATATGACATGAGATGATATAATGATGAAGAAAACTGGGGCTAAAATAATTTCAAAACAGTTTCTGATGTTGATGAGACATTTTCTTGTTAAAGAACCAAATAACACCTTAATATTAGCTATCTGCATTAACTTCTTTGCTGGTTGAATCTGTCATATATGTTTTGCAAACTTTCCTGGAAATTAGAATGGAAAGAGAAGACCATCATGACTGTCAGTCGCTAATACCTTCCAAGTAGGTAGGTGATCCAGGCGCCCAAGAGAACAATTACATCCAAGGATCCAGGCAAGCTCTGTGTGCCACGGTACCTTCAATCAAATCCAATCATCATCATACTAAGTATTTTGTAATTGACTAAGGTTTGAAATTTAAGAAATTTTATTTTGCATGCTTTATTTGGCACCAGAATTTTTTTTCAAGAAAACTTTTTTTTATAATTTTCCAGGTAATGTGATATTAATTTTCAAATGGTTTGCCAAACAAAATAAATAATTGTTTAAACTGAAATTTGTAAACAATTCTTTGAGAAAATATTGCCAACTGAAGGTTCTTCCTACATGATACACTATCTATACAAGCTAGTTATAGCTTTATCTCCATATATATCAGTAGCTAATATGATTTCTCAATATCTGGTAATACTTGATAACAAGTTATTTAATGTCATCATTCTTATGCATTTATGTTTAAGAATAGAACATATTATCATACAGAAAATGTAACAAGGACATAGTCATCAAACCCCCCACCCCCCATGTTCATTTGTTAAATATACACATTTAAATTGAGCAACATGGAAAACTAGAGTATTGAAACCATTTATTGTTTATGTTCAGATTAATGTTCTGTTGAAAGAGATCAATATAGAATCAATTTAGTAGCATAATACTGTAAATATCAGCTCATCATACATTTATATTGCCTTCTTTTACCCAATGGTAATGTTACTTAATTTCAGTGATGCTGGATCAATCAATGATTCTATTACTGATTAAGTATGACAAAACAGTGAAATGGTTTACACATTAATAAATCACAATACAGCATCTAATAGTGAGATATAAGAAATTACAAAGGAAAGTTACTATCAGTAAAACAAATCCTAATCAGTGACAGTACAACATCACTTTGAACATAAGACTTCTAAAAACATTGTGGGAATTCACTTTTATAGCTTTATTAGGACTTTTTACCAACTGGTGAAAAGACCTATTGTTATTGTTCTTTTTCTTATCATTATTATTCAGATTCTCCTTCCATGATTTTATGGTGTCTAAATTTCTGAATCATTAAGAGATATGTTTATAATCTTTTAAAGGTCTCTTATCATTACTACAGAAGATATTCTGTGCAAAGCAATCAGCCATTCAGGTGAATGCTGCCTCATTAGAAATTCCCGGAGTTAACTGATAATCAAACTTAAGAGAGTGGTTAAGATACTAAGTCTGCTAAGCAAGTCACATAAAACATTTGATCATTCCTTCTAAAGAAATGTGGAAAGCAATCCTCAAGACTGTTTCAAGAACTCCACCAATTAGGTGAGGGCACCATGATTAAATATGCATGGAATATCACATGGGATCAAATTAGAGTGAGGAGATTATATAATAAGTTTACCAAGCAAGTCTCATCAAATTCATTTGGTCCTTCAAAAGATAACATGCAGAAAGCATTCAGTTAGGGTGCTGAAAGATTTCAGCCAATCAGGTCATAGCAGCCTCATTAAATATACATAGAATTTACTGATAATCAAACCTGAACAAGCAATTAAGGTAATAAGTCTAAAAGGAAGTTTCCTTAAAATCTTATCATTCCTTCATAAGATAAAGTGCAGAAAGATTTCCAAAGAGTGATTAAAGAAATCAATCAATCAGATCAAAGCAGCCTCATTAAATATGCACAGAATTTGTCATTAATCACAGTTGGGCAAGGGATTAAGGTAACAAGTGTACCAACCAAGCTTCATCAAAATTTGACCGGTCCTTCAAGACATATCATGAAGAAAGCAGCATCAGAGAGTAATTAAAGAAATCAGCCAATCTGGTCACAGCAGCCTCATTAAATATTCGCTGAACTCACCATTAATTGAAACTGGGCAAGGTATTAACATAAAAAGTGTACCAATTAAGTTTCATAAAGATATCATGCTGAAGTAGCATTCGGAACAACGGAAGGACGGACAGAACCCATTTGAATATCCCCGCCAATCCCACAGTGTTAAATATAAATAAATACAGATCCGATTAAGATGGCACATTTCTTGTTTACATTTAAATTTACTGTAAAATCAAATAAAGCTCAAAGCTGAAATCATCATATTTGCTGATGTAAATTTCAACTGCTGAAAGGAGATTGCATACTGTAAATCAGTGCATAGCCTCCATCTCTGACAACCAAACAAAGGGCTATAACTCTGTATCTACTAAGACATGACACCTGTTTTCTGTATATAACTCACTGTCATCCATTGAGTAAAAGGAGGTAAGTTTTTGAAATATACCAGAAGAACAAAATAGCTCTGAAACTAAAAAGAAGTAATCAAAGGACAACAACTCTGTATATTATGATTGTAGCAGATGTTATGTTGGTAAGCACATGCAAATCATGGCAATAGCAGTTGAAAAGGTGTTCTGCACTATAGTAAATGTGATACAGATAAATGACAGCAGTATAGAACTGTCGTCCTCTACAGAAGTGCATCTTTAAGTTGGAAATAGATTAACACCTTACAAAGGAGTGAACTTTGAGACTATTATATATAATTTCACAAGCTATCCTGAGTATGACCCATACCTGTGACTGCTGAAACAGAATTCCTCTGTCTGGATCAATTCCACAAGCCAAGAGGCAAGCTGTCATTGACATTATGTTTTCCCTACAAATATTAAAAACAATAAATATTATACAGCATAACAAATGTACATACAGTTTACTTAAGCTCGTATCTTCAAGTAAGGTGGCACATTTTTTTTCAATGAAACATTGAACACTATACAAAATAGCTAGTGTCCTATACTCTATATTACCTCTTATTTATTGATATACTACAAAAGCTTCAGAAAATTATTTGTTTAGCTAAAATAGAAGTTACCTATGTATTTAGAACAGGATACACATACATCATATATAAAAAGTCCTGTTAAGAAGCTGCAAAAACATCGAAGAATACAAAAACAGGCAATTCATAAAATCTGACAATTGAATACTGATACATGTACCTCAGATTTAATCACAGAAAACACATACATTACAATTTTAACCAGGAAAAGCAGACACATATCATGATTTTAACCATGGAAAGCTCACACTTTACAACTTTAAAAAACTTAATGTCTTGAAAAATTACAATTATATAAGAAAAAATAGATAAAAAAGTATTGTATTTTTTAACTTCTGAAGAATAGTATAACTGTAGAAGCTAAAGATAGGTCTTATTGAGATGACAGCCACTGTGGTCATCTTGGTTTTTTTCAGGGAAATTATATCAGAGGAAAAAGCAAGTAATAATGTTACCCTTCCTGTAAAAGCTGATGCACATTTGTTATATACAACTCTCAAATAAATTAAACATTCCAGTTTTTTTGACAGAACACTATTGTCAAAAATAATGTGATGAAAACTGCTTAAGACAAAATTGAACACTGTTTAATGTAAATAATAAGGACTCTCCTTCACAGAAAATATAGTAAACCGTCTATTTTACATAATTTTCAATGTTTCATTGCAAAAATGTGCCATCTTACTGTACCTACTAAGATGAGCTTTTAACAACAAAACAGTGGTGTTTCCATGAGTGTTTGTGATACAGCCAACCACATACTCCTGTCCTATTTCCTTTTACAAGGTCAAAACATAAGATTTGTTACATTTTTATAAGATTTTCTACTACTGTTACAGAGTTCATTAAAAATTATCTGCTGACAAACTTTCTGTAAATGCAGATAAAAGGGTTTATGAAAGAAATAACAGGAAAATATCTCATTTAACACATTTCCTTTTAAATATTTCACCTGAGGACTGCAGGGTCTTGGGGAACTGTGATTGAGTGTAGATCCACAATACTGTACATGACATTTTCATGTGCATCCTGTAACTTGACCCAGTTCTTGATAGCACCAAAGTAGTTACCAATGTGAGGAATTCCTGTTGGCTGGATTCCAGAAAATACTCGCTCAGGAAATGTAACGTTCTGTGGATAAAATGTTATATGATGATAAATATATTTGGAGATCGTTGTGAATCTGCAAGGGATAGATCTGAAAAAAACTCTGTATTAGATTAACATGTATAATATGAAGGTCAGGTCTATGAAAATATCACAATAACAATAAGAAAAATAGCACACAATTCATACTGATAATACATAAATATCTAGTTGTTTCGTTTCAGGCAAGTGCAATCGAAACGTCGGCAGTATGCATGCTTAAACAAGTTCCATACACATGTCCTTGTCCCTAATAAATATACGTAAAACGAAAGTAGCTGAACGCAACCAACTACGATGTATTTATCATTTATATCATATCGAACAACGGCATTTTGGTATAAGATAAGGGTTAATTTCCTATTCTGTTGTATAATGTCCACTTTAATGAATGTTTATTAAAGCAAAACACATTTGTTACATCACATTATCATTATCGACCTTTCAATTACAACTAGCAGATACCGGCATCTGATGAATACAGAACTATCAATACATAACATGCTTAACAACACATTATGCTTTGTTATTTATATAAATTTTAACATACATTATTACTTATACTTGAACAAAGATATCTTCTAGCAAGTCTACAAGTCGACCGTAAGATTTTCGATGAAAATCTACTGGAGAGCGCCATGTTTGTTTTTCTCTGCCTTCCCACAATCCTCCAGGTAATACTAAAACATCGGAAATGAAACAGGGAGAGGGAACGGAATGAACACAAGTCATTTCAACTTCGCTAATTAACATAAGGTAACAAAATGCTAAATCTTATCAAAATATATGATGTTGTATGCGTAAGGAAAGAACTTCATTGGAATAAATATGCAGTCAATATTTTTTTTTTACTGTGAGAAAGTGTCAGTATTTGCTGATTATTAAAAATATAGCATGTCTGTATAGGATATCACGTCCGGATGACTATAACGCTTTCTAAAATAAGTTAAGATATTGGTATAGAGGTAGATTATGTAGTATCCATCATCTCCACTTTTATGTTAAATCTATCAGCTCATCTTTAATCTGAAAAGGACAGAAAAATTCACATGGAAATGATCCTACTTAATAGACCAGTCGTGTCACATGTTGCACATAAAAGACGACACGTTTAGGACAAATGATTTATACATACGAAGTAGCTCTTGGACTACTTCAAAAACACTTTTTACTGTGAGAAAGTGTCGCCATTAAGGTCAGTATGACATATCTTATTAATTTATTTCACGATAAGAGTTTCCGTATTCCAGTAAATTAAAAATTACAGTAACTGATACTTGGATTGACTTAAATAACCCCAATTAGTAAACTATTGTAATATACAATTACTTAAATCACTCATTTCTGGGCTGATGAGTTGACCACTGTGTAGGCGAAAGTGTTATCTGTTTGTTCAAAGCATCAAGAACCAAAACAATGATACTTAAGTGGTTATAATGACAATCACGCCCCCATTCCCCCCGACAGGGAATCGTCACAAATTTCCAACCCAAGGTCTATATATATAATGATCTGTGGGTTGGAAATCGTCACAAACTTCCAACCCAAGGTCTATATATATAATGATCTGTGGGTTGGAAATCGTCACAAACTTCCAACCCAAGGTCTATATATATAATGATATGTGGGTTGGAAATCGTCACAAACTTCCAACCCAAGGTCTATATATATAATGATCTGTGGGTTGGAAAATCGTCACAAACTTCCAACCCAAGGTCTATATATATAATGATCTGTGGGTTGGAAAATCGTCACAAACTTCCAACCCAAGGTCTATATATATAATGATCTGTGGGTTGGAAAATCGTCACAAACTTCCAACCCAAGGTCTATGTATATAATGAACTGTGGGTTGGAAAATCGTCCCTGTGTCCCGCAGTTAAGTTGGAAGGTTATTGTTGTTTCTTTAATTTTAGCAGGGTTTGACTTAACATTTCTAGGTCGAAAACATTGGTTATCATTAGCATCGTTTATACACTAGACGACCGACTCACTGGACGAAGAAGAATAATAAGTTTTGCGAAGTTTGTATCAAAATTTGAAAATTTTTGGACATCGAAGAGGGAGCGGGGTTGGTGGGGATATGTGTTTGACAAACTTATTTTAGTTTTTATGATATTACGATAATTGTAACAGTGCTAGTTTAAAATTAAAAATTTCTAATTGAGCGAACATCAGTAATTCATGTTTACGTTAAGAGTTGGGTCTGATTGTTTTTTCAACAACAAGTTAAAATACACCAAACTTAAAGTAGCATGTTCTGTGAAGATTTTGTAGGAGTTATGCCCCTTCCAACTATCACATATATTTGTATAAAGACACAGGTAACGAGATAGTTTGCCTAATACAATAACCCTGAAGAGCTATCATTGCGACAAAACAAATAAAAATTCTCACAGAATTTATAAGAAATTAACTAAATTTCAACAAACCAGCACTATTGAATATTAATACCATAACTACAGTTAGTATAAGCGAAGCTGAAATACACGTATATAACACGTATGATATTTCAGCATAAACCAAAATTTGGACGAACGGACGGAAGAAATATTATATCTAACTGCTGTATTTCAATAATCCCATCTGTATTGAATCATTTCAACAATCGAATCTAAAACTTAAGAAATGGGAACAATATTGTTGTCATCAGTTGTAACGTCTATTGTCTTCGTTAAGACATTTATCCACAACAGACATCAACGCACAGAAATGATTTTTTTTATTAAATCATATGATGTTTTTTTTTATTAAATTTAATTTAAAAGAAGAAAAAAATGCTCTCAGAGGATAAAATCGAATGAATTTCATTTCAATTATTATGTTTTTTTTTCTCTTAAAACGGAGATAGAATTAATTTAAATCCTGTATGGAACTTCATGTAAATTCACTTTATGGTTCAACTTACTGTACCGACTGAAATTGAATTTGAGATATTGATTATGAAATATGAATCTGGAAAAGAAAATCTTGCATACAGGATTGTGTATTACCTTGGAAACTCTCCTATCAAGACGACATTGATATGTATAAAACGATATTTGTGAGAGCTCAGATATTGATTTTTATTTTGTGAGTGACTTTAATAGGTTTGGGCGTTCTGACAAAATCTTCCACAGTTTTCTCGGAACATGTTGAAACCCCAATATCTCTTTCAAGCGATCATATTACGCTGTATTTTATACCAAGTCATAACTATTTATGGGTTTGGCTTTGAATATTTTGATATTCTCATTTCTCGTTTTCCCAGTACTGTTTTTACTATTATTCTTCAACATATTTTTTTTTCAATCCGGAGGCAATCTATTCCCAAGTTTTATATCCTCTTTCCCTCTTTCCAATAAGGACTTTTTATTTATTATTGTAATATATGAGGTCGTGCGATCAGCTTTTTGTTTTGGAGTAGTGATTAACTAATTAGTTCATGAATGTAATTAGCTTTCATTGGTTTAGAGATGTTTTAAGACGCTTTATGAAATGCTAATTTCCTTTCATTTGATTTGTGGGTATTGAATTATCTCGTAAATCATCGTTTGAAAGAAGAAACAGCAAGAGAGTTGGAATATTTGTAATCAAAGTAGTTCTGACGAAACAACACTCTAAAAATCGTTATCATTGGGGGTGATTTATTTTTAAAATGTGGTTGTCAAGCGCCACAGCCACCTTGACATGAAATGGATGATGTTTCCATTGTATCAATCATGGAAGGCTATTTTCCAAGAGAGGACACTCCTCATAAAGGGTCATTGGATGAGATACAATAGTTCGCAAACTTACGGCTGAATTTATGTCTAAATCATAATGAGATATTTATTTACGTTGGTCCATAGGGTCAGAGAAATGACGTCACTAAGCAATATGGTCTTCGATGACTGTTAAGGGTTAAGAGATTTGCTATTTCTAATTTCCAGTTTCGACAATACTTCGCTGTTGGTCATTAAATAAGCGTTCGCCCTTGGGAGGAAAAGGAGGAGAAAAAGACCAGATGTTTCAGAAGAGCAAGTATCTTGTTCTTTGTCCATAACATCCCTGATGTAAATTTTGGTAGATAATTTTTTTTTAATGCCAAGTTACTTAATGAGAACAACTGGTGTAGAGGTCGATTGTTATTTTTAATCAACTTATTCTTCTTCCATGATTTTCTGGCGCCCTTGTACTTTATAACGTTACATGATTTGAGACTATTTTTCTTTAGTTTTTAAAAATTCCGCAAAATGCTTGATTATTTTAAGTGGCTAAGATAGAAATGTATGCATAATTTGTTTCACAATGATGTCACATTTGAATCCTGAATCACGTGAATATCGCACCAGAATTCTATCCGTCATGCAACGACGTTTACACAGATGCCACGTGCCCATGACAAAATGGTGGTCATAACCCGTCAGCACCCGGGAAGAAAGTTTAATAGACACATCTTTGACATAGCTTGAGGTGTCACATTGACAAGGTACAGGTAAAAAGATATGTAGTGATAAATCATTTTTTAAAACTTTGACTCCCCCCCCTCCTCAAATTGGACATGCTTCTACTTCTGCAGTAATTAATTCATATTCCATGCAATAACTGAATGACAGTTCATGCATGACACTGACTAAATTAATCGTACATTTTTCAAAATGCATTCCCCAAATTGATTCGATACAGTCAAATAACATCAAATGCCTTATGAAATAGATAAGGTATATTTTCATTACATCCTTGTCAGTGAAATATAGAGAAATATCTCCTTGATAAAAGTGTTATTTAAAAAAATACATCTTCAATCAAAAGTCTTGAATGTGGAGCTAACAGCTGGACATGTTAAGGGGATTATTGCCATGAACAGCGACTGCTGCAGGTTGCCGCCATATTTTCAGCGTAGTAACTTGTCACAAGTTCAACTTTCTGTGAACGTTTTACAGCAGATTTTGTCTGCTAGTGATATGAATAAATCACATTTCTATGTGAACATAAAGATAGATGTACAATGAAATTTTATTTTTTTTATTGTGCTTACATATTTTTACTGATAAAAAATGGACTATATCTTGTCGCGTAATTTGGCTATTTTGCTTGTTTCTTCAGTAATAACAAATATATTTCACTTTTGTCTATCTAATATGTTTTATGTCTTACTAGTGCTTTGCACTCGTGAGAAATTTTAAATATTAGACACATTTGTGAAATGTACTTGTTATTACTGAAGACACTATCAAATATCCCCTATCTATTAAGATGTCGTTTGATCATCATTGAGGATATCTTACATAATCTCTTGAGGTAAAAGATGAACATTACTCATTGAATAAATGACAACTTGTCTTTTAAAATTGTCAGTTTTAGTAAAAATCAGACGTAGTAAACATTACAGACAATTGTATTATCGGAAATGGAACTCTTTTGTACTGCCGGTGATATTGGTATAGGGGTAACTAACGTTAAGTACAGTACGTTGGTTTCAGTAGCTAGTTGTTTTCGCCGCTTATCGTGTGAATATTTCTTTGTCTAATGGTCTTTTGGGTGATCTAAGGATTTTCAAGACGACGGCTCTCCTGATATTCCCGTATAGTAAAAATCTGCCCGTATCATTTCGGTGTTAAATGGTGTCACCATGTCATTCGTTTCTTCTAAAATCGCACCACGTGTTGATGATTACTT